GGGGGGGGGGGGTACTCTGGATTTCAAGTGACGGAAATGATCGAATGGGGGGGAAAATAAAAAAACCCCAAAAAATCCTGGACCAAGAATTAACCCCCAAAAAAAATCCCATGCTGAATTTCCGAGCCTCAGAAAGTTTGGCTGTACTTTATTTGCAGAACAACGAAGCTGGGATACGCGGGCAATACCACGAATCTTCAGATTGTTCTAAAGACTCAAAAAATCCCCACTTAAATCAAGCAAACCTTCAAAAAAATCCCTCGAAAATCTCCGTCACCTGAAATGTGGAGTACTCTTCCTGGGAAAGGGAATCGTTATATTGGGATTTCGGTACATGTTGATATATAATAATTTATGTAATAAGTAATTGTATTCCTCATCCAACATAATTAATTCTTAAGTACTAAACGTGAAATCGGAGTACTGTTCATATAAAATACTTAAGTAAAATGTCTCCTTAGTTTGCAATTTAGCCAATCAGATTTCTTCAGTGAAACTATAATGAAATCTAACCAGGCAATGACTTGACAGGATTCACGGAAATCTCCCATCAATCAGATGCCACAACAATAGATACAACTTCTGATAATTGAATTCTCTCACTTTGGTTCAATCGCGAACAGCGGGTGTCTGACTTGGAGAAGATTCCGAAGTCTAGAGTTTCTTCACAGTCCCAATGTGAAAGATGTAACTCTCTTATTCAATACTATGAACCCTGGTAAATGTCCGTACTACGATGCGACGCTACAGCCAAATAAACAGTCTCCCCCATGTTGAAAAATACCATATCTCTCGTTCTTTCCGATGGGATATCTTGTACCTTGGCGAACTTTTTCGAGTGATATCTGTCCCAAGCATATATACTCGGATTGCGGTCGCTGCTGACGATTGCTAGGTAGGTTTTCTCACGTGACATGAACGGAGAGGTAATAGTAATCCAATCACGTGCCTGTAAAAGAGAATCACGTGATTACAATATTGTGTCATGAGCATGGCAGGCTAAAGATAAGACGAAAACTGTGAACAAAAAGGAAAAATACTTAAGAAATAAGTTGTCTAGCAACTAAGTTACACAAAGGCTCTGTCTCAAAGCGAGTGTAAGTGCGAAAAGGCATATGAAAATGATTTTTTTATTTTCATGCAAATAAAACTCATTTACACAAGAAAGGTTTTACCCTTAAACTCGTTTTGAAAGTGAGGAGTCTGGAACTCGGAAATGGACTATTGGCTAAGGACACCAACTTGACGCCAATTGGGAGTTAAGAATTTACTTATTATACTTAAAGGTTATTTTAGGAGAAAGCGATGAAGTGTGATTTCACATATAATGTTGTATGCTTTAAAACTCATCCGCATGTTTTGCTCTTTTTGCATTGCAATTTTGCAAAGGGGAATTCTAAGTGTACCCTGTCATTATAGCGGTTTGGGAAGGAGACAGAGGGCAAGTGAAATTAGCAGTTCTATAACTAGAGGAAAAAACCGGAAATCTTCTGATCCATCTGCGTCCATCCGAATGCTGAGCTTAAGTTCTTTAGTTTACGCTTGTCCGACTTCGTTTCTACGAATCCATCACTGGTTCACTTTTCACCAGCCCTTAGGAGTTCGTTCATTTGACCGTAAGGAAAATAGGTCTGTTAGATATATGACAATTTCAAGACAATATCGAGTCAATCAATAAATCGTATGTCTCTTTAAAACTGCATGTGCTAGTTTTTTAATGCAGTACATCCTAAACAGACAGCTTACCCTTCTCGAGGGCACTTCCTGGAAGAGCTCAAATTGCGTTCCATTCCAGCGGAAAATAAGTGAACTATCTGCCTTCCAGCGAGCTACAGCCAAGAATGAACTTCCATCAACTGATAGAGCTTTAACGCCATACGCAGGCTCTTCCGTGGGTAACCTGTAAAATAGTTCAAATCTCGTACCAGACCACTTGTAGATGTATGTATACTCGCCGCGGGAGAAGGGACCTGGAAGAAAGCAAAGATAAAATAAATGGAAGCCACTACAAGCCTAGGTCTTAGTGCAGAACAAAGACATAATACGCATGGCTAAAACAGCGAAAATCAAAGACCATGAAAGACGGCAAAGCTGTAGTAGAACTCTTCTTCAACAGGGTCAGAGCCTTGGAGTGGTCTTTTCCAATTCTGAATTGATTCGTTTTATAATTGTCACAGTGTGTATCCTTTATTTTCATCGATCATGTAATTTTTCTTTTGCCCAGATCGCATAAACTCTTGATTTGAATTTGATGAGATATGAGTGCTTCTGGAAGAATATGAGTTTGTAATTAAAAAGTTAAAAGAAAACAGGAGTCTAAAAATTATCTTTGAGATCAATTAAATTAAATTCGACATTGAATGGAGGAGTGACGTTAGTAAAGACACATTTCATTCCTAACCTCCAATAATTGCTAAAAAATGTCAGACAGCGTACCTGTTAATGCCAAATACGTTGATCCATTAATTTTGAAATGTTCTACATCCGCTCCAACGGCCGCGATGTCCTGGAGTTTCACAAACCTCTCTCCATCCCACTTAAAGATGTGTGAACCACGCCCATAGTAAATAGCCACAGCAAGATACGTGTCTTGGCCAATTTTAAATGGCTCAACATCGAACGCCTTCACTGTGGACAGCGTTTGAAATGGAGTAAATAAGTTTCCGTTCCATTTGAATACGGGTGAGTCGTGCGAACGAGAGTTGCTCGCCACGGCAAAATATACGTCTTTTCCGATGGTGAACTGCCGCCATTTTCTTGCAAATGGTACTTTGAGTACTTGAAAACTACGGAATCTGGAAAGAGAAAAAATAGAGAAAAAAAAAAACGATTTTACAAAGCCGCTAATATTTATGGCCCTGATCATCGGAGGTTCGTTTACTAATGACATCAGGCCTCAACTCAGAACACTGTAGTCGGCCGAGAAAGAGGCCAAACAGTTCTAAATTTCAGAATTGACTGAAATTCTTTAATAAAGTGAAAAATACATCGCGAGCCTGATACAAGATACTAAAGAGCTATCAAATGCCCGAAATTAAAGCACAGTGATGAATAGAATAAAAACGGTTTTGTCTCGTAACTTTTTTTTTACGTTTTTCTGATAAGCACTTGACTCTTATAAGAAGAACCAAAATTAACATCATTAACTTGTTTTCCAGCACCACATTTGCGCACTCAACGTCAACAACGGTTATATAGTAATATGCGGATTATCTGGGTTTTTTTCCCCCCAAACTATCTATAAATATCCTTAAAATATCTTCGTATATCCTACGTGCTGTGTTCTCATCTAATGCTAAGATATCGTGCTTAAGATTAAATCTTTCAGCCCTAGTGTTAAGGATCAACATTCAATTTCTCCTTAAAATAATGTAAGAGAGCACGAGAATAAAGTAGAGGTAATTCTTACGTCTTTATATTTAGGAGAATTCACATGTTGATTCAGTCTACGGCTGAAAGATAAACATGCTGCCCAAAGCTAAGAGCTCAACATGGGGAATTAGGAGCGAAAAACACTAGCTCCAGCATGCAAGTAGAAGAAAAACATCCAAAATTAAGACAACATTTGCGGCAGAAATACATTCAATAAGCTCTTCAGATTAATTAGAGGAGAGCACATTTATTGCAAAGTTGTGAAGAATAACGATTTAACCTGGTAAGGAGCAGCATACATTCAAAAGGGATCCACCTTAACGAAGTTTCAGCCTGAAGAGTAACAACTTATTCAGTGATAAAGATATTCGTTTTTCAAGGAAGTTCGCAGAATAGGAGTTATTACGAGAGAGATCGACTAGCGTACAAAATAGCTACCTCTTTCACCAAAAGAGAAAACTTGCTCCATGTATACCAGCATTTTTTCCATGCTGTGGAATTGATCAGTCGTTCCATAAGCTCTTCATAATTTACCGTCTTTTTTCAAATTTTTTAACGAGCTCCTAGAGTTTATTCCAAACTTAGCCTGGGGATCCTGTGTTATTCAAGGCCTTGTTTGATTGTAACCAGATCAGTTACCTTTGACTGATTTTTATTTTAAAAAAGTTTATTTATCCACAAATACATGCTTCATGGGCTTATTTACCACTTTTACTCTTAGACTCGGCTATCATGAAGAATTTAGAAAGAAATTTTAGACTACATTCAGCTCTACATCGACGCTTAAAAAAGTTTAAATGATTATTGTTCAATTTAATCTTAGGCATCTTAAATACATCTGATTCAGAATTATGGGAATGAGATTGTTACACACAATGTAAATTAGTAAAACTCTTACCACAAGTATTACAAAAAGGTATAAAAATATTACTCCGAACAAACAAAAGGATCTCAAGCGCTGGTGTCCTCAACACGTACATGAGTAGTCACTGAAGGACATCATAAAACGAAAGTAGTACATAAGCTGAAATACAGTACGGCAAGAGGATGTCTTGTAGCTACTGTAAAAGTAAATATAATCATCTGACAACGTAACATTCGGCCAGGATACGGTAATTAGAAAACAAAAAATTTTAGGGATCCACCGTACTGACGTTTACTTCGCTACTTTTCGTTTCGCCTGGCCTTTCGAAAATTCACTTACTTAGCAAAACGTAAGTAGAGCCTGCATTGCTGTTATCACTGAGGATGGAACTGGGTGGTGCGCGTCTGTAACATCTTAAAGTTCTTATCAGTTAATTCCTGCTAGTTTCATCCCTTACTCATTTTTATAACACTACCGACTGTTGCCTTAAAACCGGAGGTCTGACTGATCTGTGTGTTTAGTCTATCAAAATAATCACCAATTAGGGATTGAAGACCCGACGAGCATAGCCAGGAGTAGCTTCGGCGAATCACGCCAGAGGGATTCGACTTTATCACGAACGGCGGCCAATATTCCTTGTCAATTTAGTTAATGAACAAAACATTACATCTTTCACTCTATCACCGCTCGATAAAACCATTTTATTTATGATTTATAGATCAGAAACTAGGAGCATAGTGTAGATCTTACACCGGCAGAGATTAGAGATAATATAAGGAAATGCGAAAGAGTCGCTGCCTAAAGAACAGCCAACTTGAAATTGTTCACCTTTAATCGATAGCAGCACTATATCCCTTGTTCATTCACTTTTAAGGTAAGCGGAATAACTTCCGTCACAAACATAACAAAAACGAGAGCACATTTAAAACTCCTAGACAACAAAGTGAAGGCTCAGCACGCAGCTTCTTTACGGCGCGGGGAAACGAGATTTAAGATAAACACGAAGAGACAAGTTTAAAGCAGCAGAACATAGATTACTTTAAGAACATGCAACATTACTGCTTACAATGCAAGACCATCACCAGTGCAACAAAGATGAAGAACAATGATCCCCATGTGTGACTAGAGCGGTTAGTTCTGGGATGGTGCATGTGCCTGGGTGCATTATTACGTGGAATTAGGTGCTTTATTAAAAGTATGGATGAACACTCACGGGCTGTAACTGGGGTCCTGGTCCGACGATTTGTCGCTGAATATAAGAAAGGACATTTCTTTTCACTTTATGTATATGTTGAGTGTAATACAAACAGTAAAGAACACAAAATGTGGCACATGAAATTGACACAGCCTAAACACTGAGGTAATTATTAAGTTTGAACGTTTAAGGTCAAGTTTATTCCGTAAGTAATTCGACTGTTACAACGAAGATCGAATCAAGTTGCCATTGTCAAAACTGCTAAGTGTCCTCCTTAAGCATGGTTCAAGCCGAGATTAATAAAGCCACTAAAAATTGTAAAGATGAGAAGATTTCGTGAAGGATTTATAGCTGGACCGAAAATGCCCTCAGTATAGTTTAACTTAACGACTAACATAAGTTTAAAAGAAAAAAAGACTTGGGCTAGCCTGCATAACAGGTGTAATTTTTTTTTGCGTTTTTCAGACGAGCGAAGGTAAGCGCGAAGCGATCGAGTAGCGCCAGACANGAAACTAGGAGCATAGTGTAGATCTTACACCGGCAGAGATTAGAGATAAGGAAGTGCGAAAGAGTCGCTGCCTAAAGAACAGCCAACTCGAAATTGTTCACCTTTAATCGATAGCAGCACTATATCCCTTGTTCATTTACTTTTAAGGTAAGCGGAATAACTACCGTCCCAAACATAACAAAAACGAGAGCACATTAAAAACTCCTAGACAGCAAAGTCAAGGCTCAGCACGCAGCTTCTCTTATGGCGCGGGGTAAACGAGATTTAACATAAAAACAGAGCAGCAGAACATAGATTACTTTAAGAACATGCAACATTACTGCTTATAATGCAAGACCATCACCAGTGCAACAAAGATGAAGAACGATGATCCCCATGTGTGACGAGAGCGGTTAGTTCTGGGATGGTGCATGTGTTTGGGTGCATTATTACGTGGAATTAGGTGCTTTATTAAAAGTATGGATGAACACTCACGGGCTGTAACTGGGGTCCTGATCCGACGATTTGTCGCTGAATATAAGAAAGGACATTTCTTTTCACTTTATGTATATGTTGAGTGTAATACAAACAGTAAAGAACACAAAATGTGGCACATGAAATTGACACAGCCTAAACACTGAGGTAATTATTAAGTTTGAACGTTTAAGGTCAAGTTTATTCCGTAAGTAATTCGACTGTTACAACGAAGATCGAATCAAGTTGCCATTGTCAAAACTGCTAAGTGTCCTCCTTAAGCATGGTTCAAGCCGAGATTAATAAAGCCACTAAAAATTGTAAAGATGAGAAGATTTCGTGAAGGATTTATAGCTGGACCGAAAATGCCCTCAGTATAGTTTAACTTAACGACTAACATAAGTTTAAAAGAAAAAAAGACTTGGGCTAGCCTGCATAACAGGTGTAATTTTTTTTTGCGTTTTTCAGACGAGCGAAGGTAAGCGCGAAGCGATCGAGTAGCGCCAGACAAGCGCGAGATAGGCGTGTCTGTCTGGCGCTCTTCGCTCGTTTCGCGCTTAACTTCGCTCGCCTGAAAAACGCGAAAAAATAAGGCCCGTTAAGCAGGCTAGACTTAGGTAGTGATCCTTTCAGCTCTCGAGATTTCGGCTTAAATTACTGTGCGAAGGTCAGCACTTGAAGCAAAGAAAATGTTTTAAATCCTTTGTATACCTGTTCCCGCTGTCCCATTTGTAGATAACAAAGCTCTTTCCTCCCAACTGCGACACTCCAAGGAAAAGCTGGTCTCCAATGTAAAACGTACCCAGGTCCCACGCGTCCATGTACAGTGTTTGAATCATGTATTTCTTCATGAACTGTGTCATGTTCACGTATTCTATTTGAAACAGAAAATAGGTAATCGGTGATACTGAAATACGAATTTGAATGAAGCTGGTGGTGTCGATCTCTCTCTGTTTCCCTCTATATTTATAAAATCAACCAAAGCCATTGCGTGGGTGTGGCTATCATGTTGTACTTCCACAAGAAACTTTGAAATCTTTTTAAAAATATCGCACTTTCATCAAACTATTTAATATATTGTCTGTTGTTATGGCAACCATCAATTATATTTGTATGAGTATTGAGAAATGAGATGATAATAGTAATATTTAATAAATACTTGATTATCCTTTCCCGGCCCTATGAGGCTCTTTATCGATAAAGGAACAAAAAGATTTACAGTCTAACCTCTCCTTACGGAAACCTCTATGATATGGACACCTCTATATTACGGACAGTTCGTTTGGTCCCAGAAATGCCAAAAATCATAGATTTTCTACCTCTATAATACGGACACCTCTGTAAAGCGGACACGTGGTTCTGTCCCTTTGGTGTCCGTATTAAAGAGGTTTGACTGTAAACGGAAAATAACGAGGTTAAGAGCCCCAAGTGGTAGAAGACGATCGGAACCAGTTGGCTATTCACAAGCGTGACCAAGGATTTGAGCTTGGGACTACCGAGAACAACTCCAGCTAGCGGTCAGGGTGGTACTTGTTCTAACCGTTTGGCTACAAGGATGCCTGGGGCTCAAAATGCTCGTTTAGATGATTGTATCTTAAAATACATCGGTCCCAGGCATTTACCTTTCACTGGAGGCGTGGTGGATGTTGTTGCTGCAAAGGGCAAAACAAAGGCGTCAGTCATTGTTTCATAATACATATACATAAACAGACAAAGGTCGCTATTGTCCACCCAGTTAAAAAAAAAAAAATCAGTTAGGTGATTGTGAGAAGCATTAACTTTGTTTGAAAATCAAGAAACTTGAACGCAAAAAAACATGTCTTTATTTGTATGTACAAACATTATTTTTATGTTTGCGCCGTTCACAGTTAAGGCGTGGGTGGTTAAAGCAAGACTAAGTAAGTTCTGGTTTTCTATCTTGGAAAAAAAGTGAGCTAGAATATTCTTGGGCTGGTAAGAAAACAAAATTTGTCCTGGAAGAAAGGTTAAAAAGCCTTCATTATCTGACCGCAATCTTAATTTTTTTAATTGACTCAGTGAAGTGTTGACAATTATCGTCGATTGTATGCTCCTAGAAACTTCAGCAAGAAAACTCATTCGACCACAAAGCCAAGAATTTACAGTGTTTACAAAGCGATAATTGTTTTCTGGAAAAACTATGAAAGTCTAGAAACAAACTCACTGCAAATCAGGAAAAATAAGGAGGAGCATTGCCTTCGTTTCTATTACCATCTCTTAAAGGACTGAAAACTTGGTTTCGAACATGAAAGATATAACTGTATGATGTCGTTTTGGCGTTGCTCCTCGAAGACTACACTTCTGTATAGCTAGTTAATATCTAAAAAGGGAATTTATGATCTTAATCCTCATATCTTTCAATCTTGTTGAAATAAGTTTTAATATAAAGCATAAAAATCGAGACTTGTCAATTGTTTTCAAAATTAAGACCTCAGATGTGTAATGGGTTATCGTACGTACGTTGCTATTTAGGGTAGATGAGCTTTTATGAAGCTTTTTAACCATTAACAAAAGCCCAGAAGTTAACCGTATTTTTACTTCAGTAATCTTACGCAAATATAACGTCAGTGCATGTATCTGCGTGTCAGATACTTGTATTTTTAGTAATTACGCAAGAAACTTCCTCTTACTTGTGACTAATTTGGGCGTTGGCGGCGCTGGACGACCTACGAAGTAACGTATAAAATGCGTCACAATTTGCCCCATCATGTTACTATCATAAATCCTAATTAGTGTCAATTAGTAAAAAGTAAATGAAGACTTAGTTACGTTATGATCATCGGGAACAAAAAATACACTTAATATTGTTTGCTGTTCAAAGATATGCACTGTAATGATCTACATGAAAGTACCTTCGCATGTTGATACAGCACTGCAGACTTCTTTGCCTGGAAATAAGGATAATTTTAAAAGGGACATATTTTTTTTAGTTTTCCTCAAGTTTACTGGTTTTATCATTTGCTAACAAGAGATATTAGAAATGCAGTTAAGAATCTTCAAAGAACTACGTAAGTTCCGATCTCTTTTAATGTTTGATCACTCACTTTGAAATAGGGCTAATGGGGGAGGAAAGATACTAATTAAGATTATAGTTAAGCATTAAACGCAGGCTAATTGATAGGCCGGAATTAATCAGAATTTTCTAGTTGTAAAACAAAAAAGTCGTCAATCACCAATGCCCACTGAATCAGTGTGTGGGTTACTTGAAGTATCTAAAATAACCCAGAATGGCCAACTGAAAAGCATTCTTCCACTCGAGAATTACTATGGCGCACCATGTAATTTGTCCTCATTGATAACTTTTTTATTTTGTACACATGCACATTAAACCTATTATGTATCTTGTACATTGTGCTTGTAAAGGAAAGAAGGAATGGGCCAAGCGGGCCCTTAGAGCGTATTAAAACATGATACTTGAATGTTGTTAAGTCTGAACAGGAGCCCGTACGTTGACCCTCCTGATGTAAAAACAGTGCATGTTAAAATTAACACGTCCGAACAAACAGAAATAAATTGAAATTTTTTATGCGAAATTGTTCACTTAACGTCACTGAGTCGATACAAAATTAGGCTTATATAGTACTGACTCCACTGAAGTGGCACGGAAATCTTGGGGTACAGTAATTAGGGCTTATTTACGTCAAGTCGGGTTACGTGTAATAAAACCGATTCACTGTATTTTTGATTCAAAGCAATTAAAGAACTACTATAGACAATATAACAACCTATGTCACCATTACTATAGCAGGATTGAAGTACGAAAAAAGATTATATATAACTTACCAAATTTAACACATATTAATTTCTTTCCGTCAGAAGTGAGGTATTCTCCTGGCTCACATTTAGGAAGGGATAAGGCTGGGCCGGGTTCACCCTAGGACGAAAATCAGAACAGACTGTCAATCAATATCGTGCACAAACTCTTAGACATAAGCTACCCATTGCAAAATGAAGAAACGGCAAATCTTAATAACAATGGATTATGCTCAAACCTTAATTTAAGTACCATTTCTGAGTGCAATTTTTTTTGGCTCTAAGGACTAATTGAGGAATTGAAAGATGAGTTTCACAAACCCTTAAAAATAACCTCTCCCGCTCCAACTGGTGTTGCCATAGTTAAAAAATAAAAACAAACAAACAGAGACATTTTCATTCAAGAAGATATACTTACTCTTGGTCCTGGGGGACCAACCGGACCCTGCTCCCCAGGTGGACCTGATAAACCCTATAAAGAAAAGAGTTGATAAATAGTCATTATCACACTGTCTACCTGCCTACCTATGACATACGACTCTTATCTGCCACAGATATCAAACGAGAATATATTGGAAACGAGAATAGTCTGAAAAGTATACTAAAATCGTGATTCTTGTTCAACAGTCGATAAGATGAACGGAAACATCATTGAACTCTTGGCTTTAGGGTCGCCATGTACACCAGTACAACATATTTAAATACAAGACATGAAACAGAAGTCTGTACTTGGGAGCTTTTCTTTTAAATTCGCTAGCATTACTCTCAAGCCTTTAGTTATAGCTTTTGCAATAGTTAGAGTGTTTCTTCTTAATGTTTGCAAGTAGGTTAGTGTTGAGCAATGAATGATGATTATTCGGTTACCTGAGGGCCAATTGGTCCCGGTATTCCCTGACAATGAAAGCAAAAAACAATTATTAAAAGTCAATGAAGTTTGATTTTTTAAAATTTTATCGGCATCTCTTAGTGAAGTTCTTATGTTTTTGTCAAGACATTTACCCGTAGCAGATTGTTAGAGCGTTATGTGTCTTGATAAACTATTAAAAGACTAAACTTTGCAAAAAGTTATGAAGTCAGTAAGTTTTTCATGTTTTATTGAGTTTGTCTAAGAGGCTTGCAGCGCTCGATATTTCACGTTTTACATGACCTTTTCTTATCATGCTTGAACCGAGGTTCTATCAACCTTGAAACAAATTAACAGAACTTATAGAAAATAACGCTTGCATGAAATTGTCATTCAGGATGCCATGGCTACATTAACAGTGCTTAACCTTGGCATTAACGCGGTTAGCACGCCGCAGGCCAACATTAATGTATGTATTGGAAGCCACCAGTACTTTTCGAATTCAGAAGTGGGAGTTACTAGGGTTGCTGTGAATATAAAGTAACCAACGAAAATTCGGCATAATATGCTTTAATTAAAACCTCACCCTCTTGCCTCTTGGTCCACGGATTCCTTTACTATTGCTCTGAAATAGAAATTGAAGAACAGACAATGGGGTCATTTGTTATAATCATGCTCTTAAGATTGCCTTTAGGCTTAAAAACAAGGCGAATACAAATCTCATTTTCCTGTTTTTACATTTCATTTTGCTCGATGTCGTTCTCGCTCACGATTCATTTCATGCATCCCAAATGCATTTCATCTCACGGTAGCTCAACAATTTCAAATTTATAGATGTTCATGTTCAGAGACTCAACCTAAACTCTACCGTGACCAGTTTGCAAGCACTCTAAAGAAATGGTCAAATGGTAAGTTTTAAGTCAAGAGAGCAAGTGGGACTTCGTCTTAATATTACCACTTTCGACATATTGTCTTGGTTTGAAACAAAAGTTAGAAAAATCCAAGTTAATCTGAGAATTTTACCACTGCACTGCTACCCGGTTCTACCATGCTCTTGCGTAAAAAAAACTTAAAAGTGTATCCAGTCACCCTGGCCCTTCCATCCTAGCTTTTTGTTATTCTTGTCACTTGACGAGGTTTTTCTGTGTAAATAGAATCAACGCAGATGTTGGCTGTAATACGTAAGTTTTTCCACGTAAAGCGAGATAAAAGCGACACATTTAATTGAACTGTTACGGTTTCTCGGTGTTTTCTCGGAACTTCAAGTTAGGTTTCACCTTAGAAATTAGGCTAGGTCACGAACGATTTGTATACTTTTCAAGGCTCAGCCATAAAAGGAAATTTATTCAAGTTGTTTAAACTGACTCTTGCATATGAATGAACAGGCGTGGAATGGCCACACCCCGACTGAAGATAAAGTTTTGTGAGCACTATCAACAATGCTTAAAGAGCTAATTAATAATGTCAAATACTCAAATCTGTTCTGATAAATATATTGCCGACTTGTTTACAACTTTTCTGCATTTGCTATTTAAAGCATTGCCCGCAATATAACGACCATATGAGTTCCGCGGGCCTATCAAGGAATAGCCATAGCCAAAATTGCCCTGATTAACGTTTGAGGAAATAAATTTAGTGCTTTAGCACCGTTCCTTTAGCTTGCTCACTAAAGCATGTCTGCAGTTGAAACGGAAATTTTGACAGGTCTTCCGCCAAGAAAATTTATGTCTTTGTTCTTTTATTCTTGTTTTGATAATATTAACGTCACGAGGACACCGCGAGCGTAAGGGAGGCGGAATATAGTTAATAAGATGGAAACTGTAAAGGGAAGCAAAATAAGATGTGAACAAAAGCAACAGCCTCCGGGCACAACTGCTGTCACAGGGGGTATGACTTTTAGTTATTGCTTGGTAAAATTTAAGATCGAGCGATTAAAAAGATACCCGCAAATCTTTCGCAAATGCGTCTCACAGATGTCGTTTGTGTAATAAACATACTCATTCCCCTCTTGTGTTTCAACGCAGTGACTACGATTTCTCTGCGGTTAGCAGTTTTGAATAAGGACACGACTAGAATTTCTAGAAAACCACTATTATTCTCTGGGATGGCATGCAACTGGTCTGTTTTTGCAATCTAACGAAAATGGCGAGAGTTTACTCTCTCTCCTCTGTGATTGGGTCTTCAATGTTTTGGTTATAGAGGGAAGTAGGACATGTCTTGTAGACAAGCGTTCTTACTCTCTCTCTCTTTCTCTTGGAAATTTTCATCAGATCTAGCTGACATTTCTTATCAGTGCTTAGTGACAATGGTTTCTCTTAACAATGTTTAATTCTGTGATTTCCTAACCTGCAATTTGCATGCGATCGAGCAAGACCCATCAAAAACCCACGACTTAAATAAATACGTTGAATAAACAGACATGCAATAACCTCCTACTTGAAAATGTGCGAATTTTCGCTAGAGGAGTTAATGATTTTGTCTAACAAATCTGAAAGGCGAGTGCCGAGAGAGAAAGAAAGAGTACAATGCGAGTGAATTTCTTACACAAAGCAAGCAAGAAGTAAGCAGTCAGGCAGAAATCCTTGGGGAAAGTTGTTTATGAACTAAAATGACGAAAGAAGTCACTTATCCTTGTAAGGGCATCTTTCGGTAACAAGAATAATTTTTCAACGTACATACCTCATGAAACTACCTACATAAAGACTTTATAATTGTGTAATGAACTTAACAGTACACATAGTAACGCATTAACTCTTAAACATTTATCATCCGCCGATCAACAAAAACAATGAACGCGCTCTAATTAAAAGAAAAATCATAAACGTTATAAAATTAACGAATAAAAGTTAGGAGCAGAAAAAGAGATTCACTATTTACCCGCAATGCTTTGCTGACTTTCACTTCAACTTCACTGGATATATATGTTCTGCAAGCTTTCGGACACTGTCGTTTTGTTAAGACCATCGGGAACAGAGACATTGCTAAAACAAACATCAATAATAGAAAAAACGCCGAAAAGCGATCCATGTCTCCTCTTCGAAGCTTTGATCCGCTGTGAAAAACTAGGGATCCTGCAAACACAGTCTTCTAATGTTACTTGATCACGGTCGGTGACAGTACTAAACGATTGGGACTCAAGCCAAGTTGATATACATACGACGAGATTAAATCATATCACCGATTTATCAGCGCAAAGTCACGCGTTCACACTCCCAAACCGCAGATGATTGAACGTGCGAAATGCAAATTGGATCGGGGTTAATCAAGTGTGAAATCGCAGAGGGGTTTCGTTCTTGCCAATGAGCGATAAGACAAAACTGCATGTGGGAGACAGGCTAAGTTTGAAGGAAATTTCCTTTCCAATTTCCGGACTTTTTATCCAAACAAAGAATAACAAATGTTTTGTAATCTTAAATTTTTTTCTGCGGAAGACGATACGAAGAGAAAGCCATCTTATATGCAAGAGACGCGATTCGAGGACCGGAAGCGCTAACAAGCTGGTGAGTGTATACAAATGAAGAGGGCAAACCCAATACATTCCACCCCCCCTCGGCTCTGAAACTTGAAAGAGCGGTGGATTAATAATATTGCGGGAAAACTGTAACATCTTGAAAACCGCTATGCTAAATATGTCACGAAACTGTTCAAATGAGCAGAATATTTCCGCTCCAAAACGCGATTAAAAGTAGTCGTCCTGGAGTATGGGGTAATTTTGATATCAGCTGAGCCGGCTATTGCTTTCCTTTCAGACCGTCCTTAATCGTATGCTAAACTTTATATATGATAACTGATCTGAAAGACATTGTTTTCGATTAAAAGGTGCCTCAAGATGGTTAGGTTAAATACTAATTTGTGAAGAGCTGTTCAAAGGCTTTAACGTAATCAATATCGAATATTGTTGCAAGGTTTTTATAACATGAACTGTGGTGATTTGTGTAGTGACCCATTAATACGCACTAGAGGGGTGAACGGTTGCCCTGCTTATCAACTCCGGCATCTGCAAGCTCGAAAAGCCACGCGAAATGAATACTAAAAGATAAGAAATCCGTCTGCAGACTTGCTTAGCCGCAGTCACATCACAATAACATTTTCAATGGTGTTTATAGTCTTGAGAGTACAAAAGAATAATTCATACCAGCTAAGTGACTGCTAAATGATTGCTAATGAAGTATGTCTGGCATTCAATCCAGCGCGGGACACCTCGGGACTGAATACAGAATTTATGAAAGCCTTTTCCACCGTTTCCAGAGGTGGAATAATTTTTGTACTCTGACTCAAGATTTTGTTGGCCTCATGCGATGGTCGAGAAAAAGCTGGCTAGGTAAGAAAGGCATTCAATCAATATAAGTTTTAAACGCAGGCTAAAAGGCCTTTTTCCAAAGTTCTATCTAAAATATCCGGCTTAAATTCTTGGCTAAATATTCCACTTTTAAAGAAGATAAGCATTTTTGATAAAACAAACAGTGCCACAGGAAAGCACCACTTTATAAAAGTAACTTTTATGCTATTAAGTTGTTACAATAAAGTAGGCCATCGTAAATCCGTAGAGAGTTGAACAACCCTGAGTTTGCAACAGCTCAATCAAACAAACCGAATCGGAAACCGCCTTAAAAAGGTGGAGGTCAACGGGCTGGCGTAATTACTACTGTGGGAGTTGTTGCAACATTTCATTTTACGTTGATATTTGTTTCTATCAAAGCCTTTCTGTCAAACAGGTCTCCTCACCACTTTAAGCCAGCCAAAGATGGTCATATCAGTTGGAGAGATTTTCACTGAAGCCCGGAGCATGTTGAGAGAGCTATTCTGAACACTTCTTCACGTATTCATAGAGCTGTGTTTGCATGGAAAGTAAAATAAAGAAAACTATGCGGATAACTGCTAAGCAACTACATCCGTCAATACCGACAGAATAAAAAGGAAGCCGATGCCGACAAAAATAGCTTGTTTTTCCCTCAGGACCCTCAGCTCGGATTGTGAAAATTAAGCTTTATCAGTGATGTTAACGGCTATCTAGGGAAGGAAGTCTGCCAATTTTCAATCGACATGTATCAAGTTATCCTTCCTCGTTAATTTGTGCATTCCTAGACGTAAGATTGTGTTCTGCCATATCGTTACAGGTAATTAAAATTGTTCTACAGATCTACAATAAGCTCACTTAATCTACACAAAAACCGTGTTAAATTAAAATATTTTATGGTGAATGTATTGATGCTTTAGAACCAAAATGGAACAGTATTATGAAGAGTGAGAAGAAGAGAACTTGAACAAAGAACAGCACAAGAGAATACATATACGGCAGACTTTTAATTCGCCCTTCGGACAAAAAAGACAAGGTAATATTGCTGGCTTGATCGCGGGACCTTTTCATGGTCTAGTGACAAAAGCGGAAAAGCATTTAAGCTTTAATGGCTCAGAAAGTAAAATGCAATTACATACCCATGATCACATTTTAAGAACACTTAAATTTATCCTTTCCTTTTGATAAACCAGTCATGCTAAACTGACTGCTCTCTGAAAAAAATATTTTCAGCATTTTTCTAAGTTTACCTTGTACATGTCAATTGGCCGAAATTTTTCTGAATGTTACAGAAGGTAAGACAAACAAGAGGGCTTCGTGTGTGGAGTATACTGTAATTATCTTATTAGTTGTTTATAGCTAACAGGTTTAAATTTAACTAAAATATAGGTCTTTGGACATAACCGGCAGCCTATATTTGTAATCTTTGTTTCTAAATACATGCAGTGAGTCACATTCATTCAACCGTACTAACAGTTTACTCCTCCCAAAATAACTGAACAGAAAAATTGTTGAGTTTTCGCTGCGTTTGACGAAAGATAAGAACTACTGATCAAACTAAGGAAAAAAACTAGTCTCTCTTATGGTTACCAACTAAACAAGATGTCAGCAAATGACTCAAAAGTTTCAAAGATCTTTTAGAACTTAAAAGAAAATTCCACATCGATTCAATGGGAAAGAAATAAGCGGTTTTTCAAGTAATATAGACGTAAATATCACGTAGAACCCATATGTCACGACATCAATACATATACTTTATTTAATGGAAGACATCGGGTAACATCTTTCTCACGGTTATCGAAATGACAATAAGGGACCAACAAGATAACTTTTGCTGACCCATAGCAAATGTTTTACTTGAATATATATTGCAACTAATAATTAACTGATTTCAGCAAAAACGGAACGAAATTGAAATTTTGTACCATCAGACCCAGTGATTTTTACTCTCGATGATACGTATACTCTGCTAAGGAAGTCAGTGAGTTAGCCATGGAAGCTCACACAAAAACAGTCAAAAACAGGGCTGGCATAGATCCTCAGTTTCGCGCGGTTTATCCGTTTGGAACGGACCGTGTAGGCCTGGTAAAAGCTATGCCGGGCTGAACATCGTATTGCACCAGTTTCAACGTTAGGAATACGGTAGCTGCGGTAGGAATGTAAAGAAATTGCCATGAATAAATAAAAATGCAGTCACTGTTGCCTGGCCCCAGATCAACCTTGGACTCATCAAAACATGAAGTAAAAGTTGTCGGCCTGCAAACGCAAATCTGCAATGTGTAATTTGAACGATTTTTGGTTCTTGATCAAATGATGTTGGAAACATCAAAACGTCGAAGGCCTTTATTCATCCTCGGGGGAGGGGGTGGGGGCGACTAAATCATAATGGGGTAGGGGAGAAAAGTTTGAGGTGCTTCCTCTAATTGGGGTTCATTGGAGTTTCAAGATAATTAACGAGAAAAAATCTTTTACCCCCGATATCTTTCGACAGAAATAATATTTGCTTCTGATTTTTTTTTAAAAGAAAGCTCTCACGCATATCTATTTGAAAACGTTGAAACCTCAAATATGGAAAAATGGCAATTTTAAGGGTGGCTGATACCTTAAGTGGGGTCATAAAAGTTTTCTTATGTCACTTCGACCCAAACGCTAGTACGGCTGTTTNGGGGGGGGGGGGGGGGGGGGGTCATATAAGTTTTGACGTCGCCCGAGGGAGGGGAAGTTAAAGATACTGAAAGAGGAGCTGTAAAAAATACCGCCCCTCCTCCTCCCAAAGAATAAAAAAATGAACACTCTCTTACTCTTAATTTTTCTTGTTAAAAGCTTTCGAAGGGTTTTCAAAAGTAGCCCCAAAAAGGAAAGGTTCAGTTCTGGCTTAGTTCAAAATTAGACATTCTTAATATAATGAAGGGTATGTAATTTACGGTGCCTTTTTAAGAGGGATTTCCGTTTTAACCAAAGTTTCAGCCACGTGCAGTGTGCATGTGTGTTTAGTCAATATAATAGCCGAAGTTTTCCATGGTCGGGTTGTTGTGTTCTTAGACATCATGATTTTAAAAAATGGGCAAAAAACGACGACAATCCGCGGTCCTTGCGATTGTGAAATTCTGCGAGACGCAAGTTTTGAAAAAAGAAAAACAGAGGGACAGAGAGAAACATAATGATTGTCTGAATTTAAGGGTAGAATTTGTCAAAAAGGTAAAAGACGTTTATAATAACCAAATTAAGGGTTGGAAATCGTGACCTCTCAAAAGAATCGAGTGAAAAAGGTTTTTTTAGGAAACTGTATTCGAACAGATGACTAATATTAAGAAGGTTCGCGAAAAACGATAAGCACAACTGAATATGTTTCACACGTGCACAGATGGTAAAACTTGCTCGACTTCCTTTGTTGTTATAAAAGCAAGTCCAAAACTGCTTTCAAGGATTCCTTTCTATGAGACGAACGTGATCAAATGAAGTTATAAGGGTGAAAAAGTGCAGCAATGATTTCGGTGAAATGAAAGAAGGATAAACAAATGAAGCCGGTATTGGGCAGCCAACGGACATATCAGTTGTCGCAGGTAGCTAAAGGGTCCTAATTACTGTATATTAGATTTCGGACACCACTCAGTCATATTCATCGTTCTGCACTGGATTAGCTTGGTGCTGGACGCCGTCAAAGCTTCAGAAATTTATAATTAGTTTTTCTGTATTTTCCCTCTTTTTACAAACTTAGACCCTTTGCAATTGCTGCGAATTCGTTTTAATGTGCACTTCTCTGGTGAAATGAGCCGAAAAGCTCAGGAAGTATTAAACGAACAAAAAGTACACGGAGATATTTATTAATATTTTTTTCTATTATTATTTTTTATTTTGGCGCAATGACAGCATCTAAAAAAGCCCGTCATCCCTTTCAAAAAGATAAGACCTGCAAAAAATAACGATAATGAAATAAAAAAGAAACAAGTAGATATCAGTAATCAACTTATCTGTTATTATTACAAATCAGACACCCCTTCAGCAGATTATTTTATGAGATTGATCGTTTCGGTATCGTTAGGTGGTTGTCTTAGGTTTAGACTGTGTAAAAATAATAGATCATTATTTGTATGGGAGTGTGACTCTATTAACTGAATGTGGTTGAATTGATTGCAGGTGTAACCGTTCCAGAAGGCAAAAATAGACGAAAGGTAATTTTAACATTTCCTGGTTCGTTTGTTAAATTAACTGCAGAAATATAGGACGGAAAAAACCTTTCGTTATTAGTGACAGAGTTTTGTTGTTGTTTTTGTTATTGTTGTTGTTTTAAATAGTTCAGTCGAAAACGAAAAAACAAATACAAAAAGACTGAACTATCCAGACTATCTAAAAACATCCCAAGTCGTTTTCCTGGAATTGCAATTTATTTAATGATACAGTGATAATTAATCTCATTTATTGATAAGACCGTCCTTACAGTAGCCGATGAAGACAGAATCCTTCAATCTTACACGTGCTTTTTCTTTAAAGACTTTCCGCTTTGCACCAAAATAACTATTTATTTTCATGTCAAATATACTTGGGCCGACCTGGCGGTTTCTTAGCGGAAGACAGAAAAATATTACAGAAGCAAACTCTCCTGGTATATAGCACTACATTTATATTCTTAAAATATTTGAAGTTAATATTATTTAACAGGAAGGCTAGCTGGCTGCTTATTTTTTAAGAAGTCTAGCTTTCAGTTTCCTCGCCTGGGTTTTTTTAATTTACATTAAAGAGTCTAAATATCTTTTAGGTATTGGGTTAGCCAAAATGAAACTATGACTAAGAAAGCAGTTATCTCAACAACGGCTGAACTCCCGTCTCACTAAAAAGAAACCAGCTCTAAGAAGCCGGCGGCAAATAGCGATGAAATAGGTTGAACGAAAATAGCAATTGTTGTTTTGTGGTTTGTTCCGAAACTAGTATATCACTTTCTAGATTTTATTTAAAAAAATTAACCCAATATTGGTCAATATTGACATTTTATGTGAAACATTTTAACTCGAAAATATTCTGCGTTACAAACACAATTACTTTTACCTGAACGGACGCAAACTAAAATTCAACTACATTATTCTATTTTCATTATATACAATAAAAATACCTGACTAAATATCATTTCTTTCTTAAGTGTTTGTCTGGTTACCGCTAGTCAAAGAAGCTACAACACGCGTGCGCGCGTTATCTTTGTTTCTTCCTATCTTTCACTCAGAGAGCCTGCCGGTTAAAACTGGCTTGGCGATAATATGTAGCATGTAGTCGCACAGTTTCAGGCTCCCTCTGCTTCAGTTAGTAAAGCTACAGAGAAACCTCGCGTTTTGATAATTGTTCAATTGTTATGTAATTATATTGTAACAGTTTTTCCAATGCTTAGTGGGACCTAAGCATTGGAAAAACAGTTACAATATAATTCCATAATTTTGCAGGTTTGCTGAAAGATTTGACCACGAGCTGTGTCGTGTTTTTCTTCAGTCATTTTCACCCATTCGCTCCCAGGAAAAACTTCTCGAAGAACGAATTTTAAAGCTGGTCGAGCAGTTTCTTAGTCACGGTTTGGCTATAAAAAAACAAAACTACCTAAAACAAAAGGTATTTTGTTTGTTGAACATTTCGAGGCCTTCTATTCCAGATTCTTTTAAACATTGCAGCTTTGTCAATCGCGCGAACATTGCCCGCCTTAACTGTCAGTTGCAAACATTGATTAGAATGTCCTTCAAATCAGGATATCCATTAAACAAAAAAAAAGTCACCGATTTTTGCAAAATATCACCTTTTGAATTTGGACAAGGACAAAAATGACCGTTTCTAATGACCCTTTTTGCCTTCAGGATTTTTACAGAAATCTTCGTTGCAAAACCAGAAGTCAACATTCACAGTAAAATTCAGTCCTTGTTCTACAATCCTGGACAAAACTACTTGAGAAAATGGTTTCATTAAAAGTGTGCACTATCTAACGCAGCAAAACTATTTCCAAATCAACGGCTTTGCGCAAGAAAACCCCCTCCCCCAGTTCAAAGTTGCTTCCTACAAATTCTTAGGGATCCGGCTTTCTTTTGAAGACCCAACAACACTGCTTCCAAGGGGAGGAGGAGGGGGGGGGGGGGGGGGGGGGAAAATCGGGGGGCACAGAAGTTTAGAAAAAAAAGCCCCCCAAGTAGCAAATTTTCTCTACAGTTTTTTCCAAAAAGATTTTTTTTTTTTTTTTTTTTCCTGGGTTGGCCCCAACCCTTTTGTTTCATTNTATACAGCCACTTCGACCGCGGAAATTTCGCACTTGTTGTGATTTTCAGTGGTCGCAAATTCCAAAATATGCCGTGGTAGGTCAAGAAATTCGTCAGTAGGTCGAGTCCCAAAGCTACTTCGTTTCGGAGCGGCCATTCAGTTTCCGGCTTTCGCAAACGAGGTACATCTCCTTACTCGCTTCTTTGAGAAAGTGGGCCCTTCGCTACCGTCACGCTTAATAATGCTCATCAGGCATCCACTAAAGAAGAAAAATGGCTGTAAACTTATCAAAAATCGCATACAAACCCAACTTCTTAAATTCAGCCGTTATTATAGCTCAACGAAGCAAAAATGACTTCGTCAGAATGAAGTGTCCAGAAAACTCGAGTCTTCAGTGTTTTGGAACAGCACCTCTTCTATGGTAACCCCAACAACAGGGTAACGAAATCCTATGGATTGTTTGTATGTAGAAAATCACTCGAAACCGTAAAACATCTCGGGCGTCAATAATGACATCTAACAATGAAACTGTTTCCCGCCAAAAAGCTCTGAGCGCGCGAATGTTGACTGACGACCGCCGTTACAGCTAGGTTTGATGAATCTCCACCTTCAAAATTTCCAGCTTTACAACAAATCACTGAAAGACTGGTTCCTCGGGAGACAGATAATTTTGTTTCCCTCGAATCTCAATGTGACAAAATTAACTATTTCCCTAGGGACCAGTCAATAATATTGACTTCTTTACAACCTCGTCCCCTGGGCGAGGGAAAAGCGCCCTGGGGACGAGGTTGTTCTTTGGTTCGGGCATCTTGCGCAGATTGCAAAATTTCGAGAGTTTTTTGGGGATCAAAAGCGACACAGCAGTTTTGTCTTACACTTTTCGCTTTCTCACCTCTTTCTTCTTTCACTTTTATAGTTTGCCTCGTCTTTTTGTTTCTTTTCTTTTGCTGTGCATTTACTGGATTGTATTCTGGTGTGAAACGTTTTTGGGGAAGCTTTTAGATGGAAGGAAGGTAGGTGGATAGTGGAAAAGTTTTTCATGGTGATTTTCGGGTAAACGCTGCATGGATTTTTTGCCTTTTTCTCCGGCCTCCTTGACTGAATCATGCTAATTTTTGTATGGTTTGAAAGATCTCTTCCCCCAGAACAAGATAGATTACAAAGTTGTCCTTGACCTTTAAAACTGATGACGTCACAAGCGGTAGAGGGGACGTGGATCCGCAGGGGCAGTTCAGGGGTGAACGGATTAGTGACTACCTAGATCAGTTCAAGCTACATCCAACTTCAATAAAATGTAAGGTTAACAATGCTTTTCAAACAAACCAGTGAAGCTTTAGTCCAAATTTACATCCAGTACGACTGGAAAATAGCGAATATAAGGGTCATACTTAAGGATTTCATTCAAAAGCTCAGCAATCTTGAAATTAAGGACGCTTTCCATTTGTCAGAACTGACCAGCAAAACCATTCCCGTCGTAATGAGAATTTTTGCTTTTAATCAAAACTATCCAGCAAGATCAGTCAAATCCTAAATAGTATGCACGAAGGAGATGGTTTTCAGCAGAAACCTTTTGGAAAAAGCCGATTTCAGTTTCTGACGTCTGAAACTTCCGGAGCTGAATCCATTAGACGGATTAGAATGTATGGAATGCCGGTAGGCAGTAATATTATTACGATCTTAAACCGAATTCGTGTGAACGCACCTTACATCTAAAAATAGCTTGCTGAGTCAATGATGATGAGCTCAGTGTACTTGGATAAACTTGTCTACTTCACTGATATCAATATCCAAGCCAATGATGACAATACATCGTGTATTACCCCATTATCACCTACGTAATGTTCATTTATCATTTCCTCGGAATTATATAACGTCTGAAACTCGCAAACGTCTACGCGCGCGTGCTGTTTAACATGATCTGTTGAAGTCCGGACGCCTCCAGTTTTAAATCAAAAGATAAAAAATCATTGGTAACATTTCTCTCTTTCCTCCTTACCTAAAGCGAAAAAAAAAATTTCAGACTATGGTTTAAAGAATTTAAAGAATGTAAACACTTTTTAAAGTGCTCTAATAACCAACGATCCTAATTAAAGTTCTGCAGCGTCATAAGAGGCGAATTTCTATGACCAAAAGGGAAGTTCATTTGTGTTGTTGTTTGTCTAATTTTTACGAGTCTCTTGCGAACACAAACACAAGAGCTGGATAAGTTTTCGATCAGTGTTTTTTATCCCAAACAATTTTGTTTCAAATATAATATACTATTCACGCCTATATTAATTGTTAGCGTATAATGTTTTACTGCGTATTTTAGAAACCAAAGAACCAAAATGGGGCAACAGAGTTGATTTTTCTCAACTGCTACATTAGCGTAGCAAAGCATTTTTTTAAAACAACCTTGTTTACAAAGAGATGGCCCAACTTACAAACAAACACGACATTTATACAGGATGTATAAAAAAGGATGTATGAAAGCTATCGAGTCTCTAGATGACCACCTACTACGCAATACTTTCCTGTAGACTGTTAATATAATTAAGCTGGTTATTCGAGTCTGTGGTGTGATTATTTCAATGAAGGCTACGGAATAGTGCTTAACCCTACTGTACTGTTTATTATGCTGTACAAGGTGGTTCTATAGTTTTTAGCTGATGAGCAATCCTTACGTGTGACCATTCAAGCATTAAAATAACACCTTTTCAGCCACACTTTTCTTTAGTATTGTAAAAATAGCTAAAAAATGTATTTTTTTAGCTTTATTTTATAAAAGAAATTTTGTATTTTTCTAAATTAAATATTAAAAAATTACAAATAATACTAAACCAGGGAGTGTTAATTGAGCGACAAGGCTGGTATTTACAAGAAAATGTCGACGTTGTAGCTTATTCGGTACAATCCCGTTATTTGCTGTTTTGAACACGAAGAAGTATGATTTCACATTCATGCAAAACGTAATTGAAAACTTTTAGTTTTTCATCGTTGCCGGATACATTAGGAATCTTATGGCCCTCTCTGTCGTTTGCGGATTGCCGTAAAGGTGCTGCTAACCTCTGTAATGATCTCTGGAGACTCACGCAACAAACTATTAGTAAACTGTTGAATTAAGAGGCAAGCTTGATTTGTGCTTGCTGGTGTCATGTGACTTTTGAAGTCTGTTAAGAAACTGGGCTTCCTGCTCGAGGAATTCTTCATCCTAAAAATAAAGCATAAAAAAAGTAAAATTAATTTACTGTTTTTACTTTGGAAAAGTTAATAATTGGGAAAACGTGGAGCAACTGCATTGTTCAGTAAAACCAACCAGGTTTCTCCACAGTTGAGAGTTGTTTTTCGTGTAGCCTGCGAAAACATCGGTTTCTCCTCGCTCTTCGCCGCTGGGAACGTTTCGGGCGAAACGTTCCCCGCGGCTATGTTTTGTGGAACGGTATCGGTGATTGCTGAGAAAGGCTAAAAACTGAAAAGTTGAGATGTATTACCATCACATGCGTTAAGTTAACGAATAGTCGGCAAATAAACGGTGTCGCATGAAAGTTTTATTTTTAATCAACTGAATTGGTTAGGTTGATAATCCCGCTGTAAAGAGAGCGAAGCTCTTTATCGACCTTCTCAAGGCTACCGTTGAAAATGTCAGCTAATCAATCCCTTTGTGATAGACAATTGACCTAATCGACTGTCTTGATAAGAGCATAAATCACAAAGTTACGCGCGTTTCGGTCGGGCTCCTAATTTCTTTCTACTCCTATGAACACCTTCGGATCATTGCGCACAATTATGGTCAGCAAACTTTGCGAAGTATGTCGAGCGCTTTGATGTTTAATTAACATTGTCAAGCCACCATCTCACAATCAGGATACAATAAAATGCAAGATATGTTTTAATTCCGAGCAATCCGAGCCTAGCCCGCCCCCCTCCGCAAACCCAATTCTGTGAAGTTTTATAGTATTTTTAAAGAATTCCAAGTAAAATAAATAGTATCTTTACCTGATAAGTGTAGCCCTACCCCCCCCCCCCTCCAGGCTTTTCTATTCCGCCCATTTGCTATTCGGTTAACTGTGGGCTTGCTTGCAGAATAGTACTCGGTAAGTCTCCGACGCCGAGTCTTTAGTTGGTTTGTCACGCCACGCTCCTTAATTTTCATGGCGAACTTAATTTCTATATTTTAACGCTTTAAAACATATCAACAAAGCATTGGCATCGAACGGGTACCCTGGGTGCCAGAGACGTTGCACGCGCGATTTCCAGTTTGAGTCAAGTCTTCATTGTGACCAGTGGCGTCGGAGGAAGCTTCCCGCCGCACGCGCGCGGACGCGAAAAAACCCTTCTAGTGCCCAGTCTATCGAACGGGTGGAGTTGGGGTTCACCTGGGAGGACCGGGAAGGAGAAAACCAAATATCAACGAGAAAACAATCACCGATGATTCCGTCTTCTTTTACCTTTTCTTTGTCATGTGACCATTTCCTTAGTGTTCTTTTCAACTCCAGACTGTTAACTAACAAATCAGGCGTGCCAGGAGCCGACGCCAAGAGGGAGGATTGACTAACCACCGCGGGTGAGTCTGTAAAGCAAGATAAACAGGGCAACTCATTACATCGAAATGCGTAAAGGAAAGAAGTGAAGAGTGACTTCCTACCAGACGAAAATTTTCAAACAATGTCAAAACAATGTTTTATAGCAGACACATAAGTGCATGTCATTTCCTGTCAAAAATTCCGCAAAGAATACTAAGGATGGTTGGCATTTTGGTTCTTCAAGGGAATAGGAAAGAAAAAGTATACGTTAACTTCTTGAAACATGGTTGACCGAAAGTTGGGTTACTTTGTTATTTTTTGTTCTTTTGCTCTCACAAAAAAGGTTTGTGGTTGTGTTAGTGTCTTCTCTGCTTGTTTCTCAACCTCAATTCAATAGGGTAAGTGTCCGTGCACTCAACTGAAATGAATTTACCCTGTACCTCTTAGGATAAGCCCTAAGGGTCAGTCTTGAGGTCTCCTGCCCAGTACTCGTTCTTTAAATTTTGCGTATTAACCTCGATATTTTGGAGCTACCACGTTAAATATTCTTTAAAGCTTGTCTGTGGTGGTAAAATACACACTGAATTTGAATTTAATTGCCTTAAAGGTTTTTTTCCTGTCGAATTACCTTTGAAACTAGTCTGGAATACAAAATTTAGAACAGCGTTTTTTCCCGTGGTCTTGACACGGTTAGTAACTTACATCTTGATTTCAAACGTTTTGATCAGTCTGGTAATGTAATCATAAAGTCAGTACGTGAGATTAGGCTTCTTCAGCTGTTTTTACTTTACAAAATTAAACAGCAGACACACTATCGTCCAGTTGGAGCAGCCACTAGAACGGAAGTAGAGGCTCTGTCTCAGAATATTATTTACCGACATGTATTTACAATTCTTAAAAGATGCCCGAGATAATTGATGTTTATATTATCCCTTGATCATTATTCTAATTGTTAGAAACAAGCAAGAAATCGGCAGTACAGGGAAAACAAGAAAACCACAACAATGCAAGAAATTAAAGTTCAACTAAAATGCCGCCCCCCCCCCCAAAAAGCAAGCCTTGCTAAGCTCAGTTATAAAGAGTTTGAACCTGTAGCATGTATCTGTTCAGCGGCAGCTGTTCGCCGTCCCTCACACTGCCAACACCGTCCTGTCTGTTTGTCTTTCTCCAACAAGCGCCGCTCATGCGCAATAGCAAGACGGTCCTGATAATAGAGATCGAAAGAGATGGGACATCTATTATGAAAAGAATACCTAACACATATCTAAAATACACAAGAGTTGGTAAAGGCAAGTTAAACTGAAAATGGTGTTAATTACACGAAATACTTTAGTTTTGAATATGGTCATCAAGCCTGCAAAACACTCCTCTTCTCCAGTAGTCCACGTTCGATATATTAAAATTCTAACATGACTCCCAGGCTTTCTGGTTATTTTTCTATTTCGGTCAAGTCTCTTCTGGGAATTGCGAGACAATGAAGTCGTGAAAAATTTGAAATTTTGTCCCTAAAGCCTCGGAGTCACGTTAGAATTTTAACATATCGACCGTGGGCTATTAAAGTAGACTTATGTCAAAAACTATATTCCGGCATAGTCTCTAGTAAACGACGATATAGGCAGCGAAAATGACCTGTTTTTCGTACGCAGCGGGTAGTCTTTCAAAATACGCTTGTATGTATTTAAATCCCAGAATAAAAAAATAACATGAAATAACATATTAAACATTATACAACTTAGCAATTTACTGTTTATTCCAAAAGTACGAAATCTTTCAGTCAGTTTACCTGTGCCAGCTGTCGTTCTTTTTCTTGTATTACCAGCAGCATTCCTTCGGCCTCCGCCCGCTGACTTTCAGCGTTCACTCGTACGCGCTCCGCTAGTTCCAGGGCGTGCTCTCCATCGTCACGCACCCGAGCGGCATCCTGGGTAAATAACAATAAAGATTACTAAAGTTTCGGTAAAACGGCAGCAACAACGTTTAACATGTTTTGCAACATTGCTAAAAAAATTGTTGAAAAGCGAAGTTTCGCGTTTTGCCACCCTTGTTCAAACGATCTGACATACGTAATAACTTCGCATCTCTCTATATACGCGGATGACCATCAAATGTTTGAAACAGCGGGGAACCTGAAAATGGCTGACACCAATCTTATGAGGAATGCCAATAGGGCCTCCGAATGGTACGCTAGCAATCTGCTACAAGGAAACCTGAGCAAATATCAAACTATGACTTTAAAGCATAACAAGACAGAAAGTAACACTCCATTACACTTTCAAGGAAACACCATCGAATCTTCTGACTGTCTTAAGTTGCTAGGGGTCACCATAGATGAACAGTTGAATTTTAACACTCACATTAATGAAATATGTAAGAAGGCGAGTCAAAGAGTAGGTGTAATGTTAAGGCTTAAAAAACTTGTCCCTACCAATGCTAAATTAACTCTGTATAAATCAGCCATATTGCCTTACTTAACCTATTGCCACCTGACTTGGCATTTCTGTAGTGCTACCGACAAAAGAAAGCTTGAACGGGTCCAAGAAAGAGCACTACGCGCAGTTTTCCTAGATAAGCAATCAAGCTACCAAGCATTGCTGGACAAAAGTGACCTAACGACTCTTCAGAACAGAAGACTGCAAGATATTGCTATCCTTATGTATAAGGTGAAACACAAACTATGCCCCATCAAAATATCCGAGCTATTTCACGCGCATTGCTCACCCTACAACTTGAGGACGGCAGAGTTCGCCATTCCCAGATTTAGGACCAATAAATATGGTAAACACTCGCTCACCTACCTGGGACCAAAGTTGTGGAATAAGCTGCCAAGCGAAATCAGAACTCTCCCATCATTATTTAGTTTCAAAAATTGTATTCGTAAATTTGATCTAGGTGTAATGATAGACGACGACAATTGCTCCAATTGCATCCTCTGTAATTCTTAATCTTTATAAACCAATTATTTCATTAGTTGATAGTTAGTAGGTTTTTTAACTATATTATATTGTTAGGTAACTATAATTGCATCCTTTGTAATTCTTAATCCTTTGTAATTCTTAATCTTTTTAAATCAATTATTTCATTAGTAGATAGTTAGTAGGATTGTTAGGTAACTATATTATATTGTTAGGTGTCCCCAATTAGTAGAGGGGTTCTTAACCCCATCGGCTAGACATTCCAAGACACATTAATAAAGTTTATGTATGTATGTATGTACCTGTTTACAACCTGATTTGTTGCAAGACAGTTTTGATTCCTGGGTGTTAAAACGCTCAACATCGATATTCAAGCCGTTTTGCAGCAATGTCGCAAAACAAGTTGCATGTCTCTTGTTGTCCGTTTCACTGTACCTTAAGGTTGCAGTCTGATTACCCTTGAAATGGATGTCGAACTAATTGCTACATAATTATAATCATAATCATAACTATATTAACGACATGAATTACAGAAAGAAAAACAAAAGACACAATAAGCGAACAGCGACATACAGAGCACAATTCATCAATTTCACGTGACCGTTTCTGCACTTCAAGTCCCAGTTTTCCAATCCTGTCCCTTTCTTCATCAAATCCACTCCGCTGTTTCTCGAATTCTTGCTTCTCTCTTTTTAGTCTCTCCTCTTCTTGTTTAAGCTGCGCATCACGTACGCTAAGGGCAGCGGACTCTTCTTTAATCCTTACTGCAGTAGCGCCCAGGTCTGCCTCGGCCTAAGCGAACAAGATGAAATATTAACAAATAGGACAGAACCAGGAGCACGTTAAATAAGAAGGTAAGGTCGAGAAATCACTTTTAAAAAAACTGTTCTCAATAGACCAATTTCGATACTTTAAAATTCATACTTAGCTACGAGGCTTGGGAGAATAAAACAAAAGAAGTGTATTACTCATCGCAGAGCCTCAAGATGATTTCTTTTGTTTTATTTCCCTTAGCCTCGGAGCCCGCAAGTATGAATTTTAGTATATTGAAATTGGTCTATCGCTGCTCTCCTGCACTTTTTTTTTCTCGTATCGAGACTTATTCAGTTTTTGCACGGAACTTCACTAAGCTTTTTGCGCTGTACTGGCTAAGAAGTTTAAGGGTTAGTTTTGTTTTGTTTGTTTTTTTCTTCCTGTGTTTTTATTTTAAGACGGAGCTCAATAAACTAAACTAAGCTAAACACAGTACGGAAACTCCCCCAACTACCCCTCCCCTAAAGCAACGCTAACACTATCTTCTCACTAAAGAGCAAAATGTTGCGTTGGGAGAGGGGCAAGTGAGGCAGTTTGATCCGTTTTACATTGATCCGCGCAATAGGACATGCATACTATTTGCGAAATAGATTCTATACAATTGCAGTGTAATAACCCCAAAAAAGAAAAAGATATGAGGCATAAAACATGACAAAAGACAAACAGTTCAGGTCTCCTTGGAAAACGGTGGAAAGTTAGCTTAAGTTACACACTAGATTGCTCGGAGATGCATGTATCGAATCTCCCATTATGTGTTATATAACTCCATATTTCTCAAAAGTTAATTGACGTGGTCTAATACCTGTACGCTCGTCTCAGTCTTTAACTTTTCTCTGCTGATCAGGTCTCTGTGGGCCGAAGAAAGTTGGGCTCGTTCGGTGGCTAACGTTCTGCGTTCTTCTTGTATTTGACTCATGGTGTTCCTCTGTTCTCGGACGAGATCGTCCCGGGCTCGCTGTACCTAAATATATGCAAACTAGAGAGTTTAAGATGTTTTATCCCATGCCATACAGCCAATCAGAAAGCAAGAAAACCGTTGCATATTCTGCAGTGTGCAATGGGTAGTATTTCCCCCAAAATCCCGGCGATGCTCGCGGCCTTTTCATTTTTCCTCCGAAGACAAAGCAGATAACGACAGCAACAACTTTTCACTTTACAAAAAATATCAGAAGCATCTTTAAACAACACCGCAAAACCCGAGTTTCAACTACCATTCGGACTTCTATGGAGTCAAAGTTAAAAACGTAACACAAAACGAAATCAAAATGCCTACTACGGACAAAGAAGCTAAGGAACGTAGTAGCCGAGAGCAAGAAAAACAAACCAGTTAACCAGTGTTGCGAAGACCGATGGGATCCGCATTTCGGAACAAGCTCACTGAAATCCCGCCAGAAGCGTTTGAGAGCTGTGTTGCTATTTTCTTCACGATGCAGGTTAATTGGACAAAGGAGAATACTAACTGTGTGACTATCATTTGGACATTGGTGTTTACAGATTACATTTAGTATTAAAAGTGGCTTTTTTGAGTTTACCTTTGATGGAGAGGTATCTTGATTTGACGTTGTCATGATCAGTGACATGGAATGAATCAGTCATGCGATGTTTTCTCTTGGAATACCTTGAATATCCCACTCGTGACTTAATTCTTCTTTGTATACACACTCGCCAAACTAAGTAAAATCAAGTCACTCGTGGGATCATGGATTTCACAGTATACCACGAGAAAGCATCGCACAACCAGTCTTTACGACGGCGACGGCAACGGGAACGTCAAACAAGCAGTAGGTATACATTAGCATAACAATAACAACTTTGCCTATTCGGCACACTTTTTGGTACGTTTCTTTGCCGTCACTGCACGACTACGGCGAAAAACTTCCTGATTTCACGATTTCAAAAAAACAAAAGACGAGGAATTTGTTTTTTTCTTTTTGAACTTCATTAATTTTCTTAGGAAATCAACTCCTACATTTGACAAAGCGCAGAAGTTTCAAAGAAAGCGAAGTCACTTTTTTTAGTGACGTTTTCGACGTTAAGGCTCCTGCAAACTTATAACTGAATGCAGATCCCCCGCCCCGTGGCAATCATCCTCTTCAACGCGAACAACGATGGTAACATCAGTAAGGTTTGTTCTAAGACGAACCAAAACGACTTCTATATTATGAAGTAAGATTCATGCTATAATTGTCGTCTCTTTTCACCTCAGCTCTTTGTGCAGACAGCTGTTCCAAGGTGATACGCCGTTCATCTTCCAGTGCAGCCTGTAAAGCCTTTAAACGTGACTCCTCCTGTGTTAGCCGCCATCTTTCTTGATCCACTTGACGTGTCTGCTCGCGCATGTGCAGTTCCATCTTAGCGACTAAGCCTATATGGCACATAACAAGCCAATAATTCACCGGACTCATAATGAGAAAAAAATGACATTAGAAGACTTTCCTAACAGTCAAAGCCCGTTAATAAGGACACTGAGGGGGCTATACAAAATGTCGGTAATTACGGGCTATCCGTATTAATCGGGTTGAAAATGTAAGGGTCTTTTTTCCTGAGAGACAAAGCAAGCTGTCCGTAATAATGAGGTGTCTGTATTAACCCTTAAAGTCCCAATAGTGACCAACATTAATTTTCTCCTAATACTATCCAAACAATGTCAAGAGATTAGGTTATGAGAATTAACAAAATGATCACCTAAGGGAAAATGCCTTGATCTTTTATCAAATTCTCTCAATTCATTCATGAAAGAAATGTATGGAGATCAGGTTGGAGAATTTGTATGTGGATATTGGGATTTAAAGGGTAAAGCGGGGTTGACTGTATTGTTATTATTTATGTATTGATTACACTAAATTCGAATCTTCAAATATGCGTATTATCTTTCTAATTCGGTTTCTAAACTGACATGCAGTTTCCTGATAAATTGGCAGTTACACGCGGAAATTTCCCTTTCTAGCTAGCCATTCACGTGAAACAAAACTGCCATTGGAGAGCAAGGAATACACTGGGACTAAACAAGACAAACAAAGGAAATTAGCACTTTAAATGAAGTGTGAACTTCTAGATAGGATAGGATAGTTTCATCCATCCCGGTGCATCACAGTGGTTTTGTACCACACGAATGATCTAGCTACAAAGGGCCTGTAGTTCCTTCAAAGAGAACCTCCCAAACGCTATATAATTCACTTGCCTTGTAACCTGGCTCTTTCCTCATCATTTTCCGACTGCTGCCTAAGCAACCTCTCCTGTAGCTGTTTCAGGTACTCGTCCCGGGCCCTCGCCGAGAGTTCCCGCTCTTCCAGCCCGCTATTATGCGTAACCTCGATCCTTTGACGCAAGTCGCTCACTTGACGAGTTGAGTTTAACACTTGATCCATAAGAGACTGAAGAGATTTGGTGTGCGCATGGGCACTTGTCGCCGCTGACACCTCCTGTTCCTTGAGTCTTCTTAACTGCGCAATCTCCTCTTCGTGCTCTTGACGTAATTGATCTAAAGCTCTTCGGTGAATGTCTTTTAGGGACTCAATCTCATTGTTTTTCCCGGTTTCTAGAATAGAAATTTTTCTGTTGTTCGAAGCTTGTAGATCAGCTTTTTCTCTTTCAAGGCTCTTAAACTTTTCACTGTTTTGGGCGATGATGAGATCGGTCTCCTCTTTGAGTCTTTGTTCTCGCCGCTGATAGGACTCTTCCAGCGTCTTTAAATGTGATCTTATAAATTAGAGAAATAGAAATATAAGAAACAGTGTAGACCTTACGTGCGGCATACGCTTCATGAAAGAAAGAAAAACATTGTTTACCGAGCAGGACACAAACCTGCGTCAACCAATCTGTAGTTGAGCTAACCTGCGTGGCAGGCGTTCGAAAGGGAAGGAGAAGGGAATTAGGGCGCGAGACCCCCTTCCCCTTTTAACGCCTGCCACGCAGGCTATAGTTGAGCATGATATCCACAACACCACCGAGTCAACTCAACTACAGTGGCGGGGTTTTTAACTTAGTTATAGACTTTCTACAAATCGCCCTCTTGTAAGCGAAGTATGCTTTAATGAGTTTGCGCAGCGACCGGTCACGAGGTCGACTTGTTTTGCCTAAATGGGTTGAATCATATTACAAATTTAGGCGGGAAAAAATGATTGATATATGTGTCAAATGTCACTCACTCTCCTATTGGTCAGTTGTTATGACGTCACCAGTGGAATTTTCCACTTATAAATTTCGCGCCATAAGTCGAACTTAGTCAATGACTGCTATCAAACTCAGGAACTCCTAGGAGCGTTTTCCTTACAAGACTCAATGTTTGTATCAAGGCCTCTACACCGTAATCCGGATAAACAAGTAAATAAGACGGAAAGAAATTAAACACTTGCCGGAGTCGCAAAACTAGTCACAGGTGCAGATAAGCGAAGTACTGGAGGAAGCTTCCAGCTTTTTATTTTTGTTTCGTGAAGCTTCCTTCAATACTTCGCTTATCTGTACCTGTGACTAGTTTTGCGACTCAAGTTAAACCGATCCAGAGAAGCTAACATTACTATAAGGGAATTTGGAAGCTCTAGACCGTGTTTTACATACATGCGGTACGTGTTATCGTTAGAACTTGTAATGAAAAATTGAATGACAACACTCTCAAACTTGAGGAACAAGGTGAGGTCTTGAAGATTCGAACACGTGTAAATTGTGCATGAGTCTTAATCTCCTATCTCGTTTTTATCTTACTTGTGAGATGTATCGATGTTAGCCATTTCATCCTTGTGTCTTGTCTTAAGTGACTCTATTGTAGTCAGCATTTCTTCCCGCTCAAGTTCCAGACGGCGAACCTAACAACAGGAATAAAACAGTCGTATATACTGGAGCCAGGTAACTCACTTCTATCTCATTTGTTATGATAAACCGCTCACAACTTCTGATCATTTTGTTCTATTCTATGTTTAATTTTAACTTTAGTTTGTCTGTAGATTTTTCCGGGCTCTCCCTTGCATCAATAGGCTTTTCTCCGCATACTCCATTTTTTACTAACACTTCCAAATTCCAATTCTATCTGGCACGCAGGACCACGTTCTGGAGCTGTGTCACGAAATTTATCAAAATTCTGTCGCCAAACTGAGTGAAATGACATAAAAATAACAACTCAGACATTAAAAGATGGTATAAATAACACAGCAAATACAAAAGAAGGCACGAATGGACAAACTTGAAGAAGATCGAAACGGATTACAATTGTGGTTTTTGAACACATGTCAGCCTAACAGTTTTTCAAAGTTCATATTCCTGTTTGTGACGTTTGATAAATGATTGGCGGCTCCCTCCATGTATCATTGTGTCGTTTCGTCTGTTCATATTTATAACAGAAATATTTTCTATTCGGCTGAGCGAAGCGATAGTGAACAGAAGTAATTTCCCAAGTTCTATAGCAAATAAAGATGCGTAAATCAACTACCCAGCCGTGACGCAGTCCTAATTTTAAGGCTCCTAAGTGTTCGGTAGGTGGTATTTAAAAAAGACTGTTTACCTTTCCTTCTAGCTCTGATATCTTACTGGCGGCATCCAGATCTTTCTTTTGCCTGATGCCTTCCATATTTTGAACTCTTTTCACCAGGTCCTTCACCTCCTCCTCCAGACGCGTCTTTTGTTGCTCTTGGTACTCACTCGCTACCTGGTATTCCATCAAGCGGCTCTGCTGTAGGTCGCTTTCTGCTTTGAGTTTTGACATTTCAAGCCTCTCCAATGAAGACGGTTGGGGAATCCCGGGAGAGAGCTGAGGGGTCTGTAACGAGGCCGGCGGGGTCTGGGGCAAAGTTTGGAATCCAGCAGGAGACTGATACTGAAGTTGGTAGGAAATGGACTGGGGCAGACTTTGACTGGCAGGGGAGGCAAAAGGAGCGGGCTGATACTGGGGGTGATACAACTGAGGGGTGTAGGGTTGGGCTGCCACTTGTGGAGGGAAGTTACCCTGTTGGATTGCATATGGCGACTGGTGGTGAGTAGGGCCAGGATGTGATGGAGTTGACTCAGGCATAACCACAGGCGGAGTAGAAGCCACAACATTCTGTTGCGCATTGTACTGTGAAGATTTGCCGTGCTGTTGTTGCTGTTGCTCGGTAGCTGGTCTCGGTGTTTCTTGGCTGAATGACGCTTTTCTTTTATCTTCCATACCCCTCTGCTTCAGTATTTCATTCTCCGTGAGTCCTCGGTCCGTAGCTTCTTCACGTGGCCTATCCAGAGGACCACCCTGGGTGGATGCGTTGTCTGGTTTATCTACCGAGTTTTGCTGTGATGTCTGATCACGCCATCGTCTTCCTCTCCTGGGACTACCTCCTGAGGCCTCCCATGGAAGCAAGGATGACCTGTGTGGATCAGTTAGCAATAAAACGGTCAGTCTCTCAATAAGCCTTAACCAAAGTTCATATCGCTTAGTCAAACAAAATGTACATCGGAGTATTGATTATTTACCTGAAGATGGGAAAAAAGGGTGGCATATGCAGACTATTTTGCGGTCAAAAATCTTTTTACCATAACAGAGGGATTTTCCGCCCACTGATTGGTCGAGAGTTAGAGTACTGACTAGGAAATGACGTGATGGTGGAGCAATTGCCTTTTCTCTTTCTCTTGGGCGCGATTTCCCGAGAAACGTCTACAAAAATGGACGTCAAAATCTTTCAAATTGATGTTATTGTAGCAAACAAATCGACAACAATTTTCCATACTCTTATCGACCATAGAAATGACGTCAGGGTCGTCAATATTTTCAAAACTTTACTATGAAACCAATAAACCTGCGGTTCGTGGTTTCACGTGAGTTTTTAACATTTTGATGTCATTGCTATGGTCGGTAAGAGTGGAAAATAGTTGTCTTTGTATTAATTACTTACTTGCCGCCTTCATCAGTTGCTTCAACTTGTTTTGGTTTAGGCGGTTCATCAGGAGTGATTCCCAGCATGCGTAGGAACTCATCATTATCACCCTCCCCCCTGTACCGTCCAGCTCTCCTGGGTGGTGATGATTGCCTGCCGTGACGCTCAGGGGGGGCTGAAAACAACAGATGAGGTTAAATGGTTGATTTCTGTATTGTGAATCTCTTCTTTTATGGATAGTCTTCGTAGTGACACCTCCCGTGTTATGATGTAGCTTTGTGGCTTCGACATGAGAGAACCTTCCAACCGCCACCGACCAATCATCATTTTCGTCTCTTCCCCAACCGCTTATTTCCTAATGAGCTTATCTGTTTATGGCCTCGGGTACTCGTGACTTTGCGCATTATTACGCATCATGCTGATTGGACACGCCATGAATTAAGCTCTCTCGAAACGAACATCTTCACATCATTATTTCAGTCTTTAGGGTCTCGCTGATTACAATTTTTTCTATCATGCAGTGAATGCTGTGAAAGTATAAGTGCATAGGTAGGACGTAGGATGACAATAAAAAATAAATAACTTATTAATAGTTCTTAGGAATATACCTTGCGCAGTGAGCGTATCTTGTTTGCCTTCCTGAGAAGATGGTGTGCTGGGTTTTAACGAACCAGCGCCTAGATCCAGGCCTCCATCGTCATCAGTTCCCAGTCCCAGCCAGTCCGCACCAACACCACCACCTCCGCTCGGTTTTGTTCCTGCAGACAGATGCAATTGTTATCAATGAATTTTCTTCAAGAATGGACTCTGTCGAATCTTGAACTACGTCATTTTAACTTTCGAATCAGACTGTTCTCACTCGTGTTTGATCATCGTTGAGAATTCAGTGGTTACTAAAATACTTAAAAAAAATTTTTTCAAAGAAAAGTAGGGACTGACTATTCGGCCGCACGAATATTCTCATTAAAAAATATGACAATTACTTTTTCATATTTTCATACATACTCCAGTTTTTGACAATAAGCTCTCCACTTAAGTTCAAGATTTTAGTAACTATATAAGTCACTTCAGACAGAGCACCTTGTAATAAACCACGTCACGATAAAACCTCTGTTTCAAAGCGAGGCTGAGCCACTTAAAAAACGAGAACGAGACTGAGCCGAGTTAGCTTTCGCAAAGACTTCTGGGATTGTTATTGGGGATGCGCTATTCAGCTATTGGCCAATTTGTTTTCCTTTTCCCCAGTAACATGTCGCAGACGCCTTTGCGAGAATTAACGCGGCTCAGTTTCTGCTGTGGTGAATTAAAACTCATTTTCACAAGGAAGGTTTTGAATAAAGTGAGAGTTTCTGGAACTCGAAAATGGCCAACTTAAATTTACTTGTGCCGCTTTTTTCTTATCAAAAGCTACCTATGCTTAGTGCAAAAATCCTGTAGACGTTACCGTCATCAATTGAGTTGAATTATTACTTAAGAAAGAATCACAGCCTGTAATACCTGATGCTGGAGATGACTTAGGTTTTTCAGCTTGTGGATCCTTCTTTGGTTCAGGCGTATCTTTCTCTGAAATTCATAAAAATATCATGATCAGACACTTATCTGAATGAGCTATTAATCAACGAATATCACAAAAGACCAGCTAAAATAAGAAAATCAAAACTCTGAAAACCACATCTGTAATGCTGGATATGTCTCGGACGCAAGAGTTGTCAAGCCTCTTATACTTTGCTTTCTGAAACTGCAAAGCATTATTTCTTAGGCATTAACCGGTACGGGGTCGGTGAAATAATAGAGGGCTTCAGCAAAGACGTTTTTGAACGACGCACAGCAACTGGAAGAAGCCTTTTGCACTCTTTGGTAATTGTTCTACCCATATTTTCAGGCAACTCGTCTCTATAACAGCCAGTAAAGACACTTAGCAATACAAGTGTGGTAGAGTCAAGACTCAAGGCGTATTAAAAGGGAAAATCTGGTTGACGTGCGTGCCTAAAAAACGCCAAGATGCTTAAGCTCCCTAATATGAAAACTACCCTCTCCAATATGCTACGAACTGAACTCGACCTCAAACTCGAATACAGTGCAGGCTTCATTTAATGTAAGAAACTCTTTTTGCTTCGCGGTTTTAGGAGCTCATCGCTTTGACAGTCTTACAAATGAAAAGATGCCTGGAATAAATCTTCAAATCACTCTTAAAAACCAAAGCAAGAACTTGATATCAGATCAGGAATTACTTTAGGCCTTACTGCATGCATGCACCCCTTCGAATCAAACACCTGCCTACTGTCTATACGGCGTTGAAACGTAAATGGTATAAAAACAGCAAAATCATTCATTCTGACTTTGTGCACCCACCATTAACCTTTGGTTGCCGCCTTGTTTGCTTGCTTCCCAAAGGTGGTTTCTTGTCATCCTCAAGCAATGATCCAGTGTTTGTATCATCTTTCTCCTCTTTTCTCTGTTGTCTTCTGTCTGCTCGTTCACCAGGTGCAGTGGAGGGTCGCTCATTTCCGAACAATTCGTCATCTAGTCCCAGTTCATCAGAAAACCTCACAGACCGCTTGCTGGAGCTGGGGGCTGTGTCTGGTCTGGCAAGTCCTCCTCGGCTACGCGATGAGCCACTAGAGGCCGCTGAAGGCATATAGCCTCCAAACTGGAACGATTCTTCAGATGTAGGACTAGAAACTGAACGATATATTATTATACATGATTACGTTCTCAGCATGATATACGGTATTTAAACAGTATAAGGAGGGGCAGTGGCCAACCTCGTTCCCAGGGTTCTCTTACAATAGGGCGGGTAGGAGAGAACCCTGGGAACGAGGTTGCGCGGTGGCAGGGAGGCAAGGTGGTCGAGTGGTTAGCGCGTCTCGCAATGCGGCGGTCCTAGGTTCGAGTCCCGCTCTGGCCACTTGCTGGATTTGTTCTCGGTCGTCCCGAGTTCAAATCCTCGGCCGCGCTTATAAATAGCCAACTGGTTGCCTCCTGCCAGTTGGGGTTTTTAATCCTGTTATGTTGTATTTGAATTATTTTTTTCTAAGTATTTGAGTGGAGTTCCTGTAAACTAGCTGGATAAGCTAAGTGCATTTTCCACGATAAACAAGCCTTTAAAACCTCTTTTTTAATACAAAAATACAGTACTTTTACTAAATGTCCTAAATTAACTACCCCTTATACAAAACCCTAAGTTAAGGACACTACTCGAGCCGCTCTCGGAAGACCACACTGGACTGGTCGGGAATTAACAATGAACAAACAAAGTTAACAATGGAAACTAGCCCCAAAACAGTAGGGGTCCAATTAAATTAAAGGTTCTGATGAAGAGCCAGAAGGCTTCTGGTTTTAGTAGCCTGCCTAGCAAGCGTTTCCGTTTGGTTTCGGAGCAAAAAAAGATCGTGGAAAGAGATTTTCGGTTTGACCGCGCGAGAAATGAAACGAGAACCAAAAAATGAAAGAGGGGGGAGGGGGAGGGGAAGGAAGGACCCCTCCCCGCTCTTTTACTTGCGCCATTTGTCGCGCGGTCTTTGACTCTTATTTCTCATTCTTTGCTCCTGAACCGCACAGAAACGCTTGCTACGCAGGATGTGGCCGTAGAGGCAAAATTAATTTCATGAAATGCCACACCTTTCTTGTTTGCTGCACTTGATCCAGTATTTGCTTTACTGCTGATATTTGCCATGAAATCATCCAGTGATTTAGGTACAGCTTGTTTTTTAGGTTCATTTTTTTCCTTTTTACCCAGCAGTTCACTGAATCGGGATTGTCTTGAGGGGCTTTCACTTCTGGTCTCTGTTTAGGATAACAATGCAACACGCTGCTCAATGCAAAACTTTCAAAGTTGATTTTCACTCAATTGCTACTTTTAGAAGACGTAAAGGAGCGATTTAACTTTTACTAACTAGGGAGTTTTAGCATCTACGGTGGTGGCAGCGGTAGTTTCGAAAACGAAGCACTCGAAAACGAAGACCGAAGCACGAAGCACCCAAAACTCGAAAACGAAGCACCCAAATCTCGAAAACGAAGCACCCAAAACTCGAAAACGAAGCACCCTAGATCGAAAACGAAGCACCCAAAACTCGAAAACGAAGCACCCAAAAACTCGACACCGGTCTTTCCTTTATAAACACGAGACCAATGTAAATACAGCAGAAATCAAGCGCGATAACGAGTATTCGATAACGAATCGAATGCAGTTCAACTACTCAAGTTGTAAATGCATTTCCACCGCTGCGTGGGAGGCCCGGTGGGAGGCTATGTTTTGGACGTGATCAGAAAACTGAGAACGCCCAAACTATTTCTAGAATATTACTGTATTGCCGTATTACTGTATTGCAAGTATCCCCGTACAAAAATGATGAGCGTTTTCTATTCCATTCCTCGTTAAAGGCCATTTGCAAATTAGTGTAGTTAAAGGTGGATCGGTGGCATAAAAAGCATATCTTCAGGCTTCGCCCCACCGACCTCCTTCTCAGTAGCTTAACTCTCCTTTTTTTATTCGCTCCTTTTATTTCAAAATTCTCCTGTTCCCCACCATAGAGCCTGATCCCAGGCTATTACCCTAGAACAAATTCTGCCTGGATCTGATCTGATCTGATCACGCAGTGGCATAAATATCCGATATGGTAGACTGCAAAACAGTCGGTTTTTTTCTCAAAATCAGTAAAGAAGTCGGTAAAGCGTGGCGTAAGAGTAATACGCGCGAGCGTCACACTCCGTTTTCAGCCTCGTTTCAGACCTTTAGTGTTACTGCTCACGCGTACTTGAATACGCCAAAATCTGCTGACGGACAGTTTTTTCAAGTCTACATAAACATGCATGTGTACCGAAAAAACGCATATTAAGGTAAGATGTATCAAGTATAGCGAGACCAATAATAAAATTAATACACTGTATCCCATCTAGAAACGTTCAGTTAAACAGTTGGCAGGCTCTTATAAAACCTTGGGATGGATTTTGTGGACCTTTGGAGGTGCGGACGCATCCGCTGCCTCCACCTGATTCGGATTGCGTCATGCAAGACGTACAGCCGACAGTGGTTTCGAGTTTTGGGTACTTCGTTTTCGAGATTTGAGTGCTTCGTTTTCGAGATTTTGGGGTCTTCGTTTTCGATCTAGGGTGCTTCGTTTTCGAGTTTTGGGTGCTTCGTTTTCGAGTTTTGGGTGCTTCGTTTTCGATCTAGGGTGCTTCGTTTTCGAGATTTGGGTGCTTCGTTTTCGAGTTTTGGGTGCTTCGTGCTTCGGTCTTCGTTTTCGAGTGCTTCGTTTTCGAAACTACCGGTGGCAGCAGCGAAAACGTCACACAAACAGTGAAATTGCGCTACTTCAAACTTCTTCGCTGTTCTTCCATCACGTTCAATTTGTCAAATGTTGGCGAATTTTGTATTGCATTACTCCATTTCAATAATTCAATACCTGTATCGGGCAAATCATCTCCACCACCAAAAATATCATCGGAACCCTTGCTATTTCGTCTACTGGCACGTTCTGATTTCTTTCGTGGGGGAGGCGAGGGTGAATCCCTTGGTGTTTTCTCTGTGGAATCATCAAGGCCTGGCAGATCTTCATCCGAATCAAAATTGATGTCATCTTTGCTTGATTTCGCTTTCTGTGCTAAAAGCAACAACAACAAAAAATACAGAAAAATCCAAGATACTTTCATTTAGTATAAGAAGTACTTTCCTGAGTGTGCTGATTCATAAGGTTATTTACAAAAATGCATAATCTGACACTCTTTCCTTTTGTATTGAAACAAGACCATTTTTCTAAACGTTTAGACACTACAAAGCTTACCAGATGTTTGTTTTCCTCTTTTCTGAGGGGTACCCTTAGGAGATTCTAGATCTTCCCTCTTGCTATTTGTTTTAGCCTCTGGTGAGCGGGGAGGAGAAAGTGTACTTCCTTCTTCAGCTTTCTCCCCCCTGACAGCTGGTTGATGCTCTGGTGTAACAGGGGGTGATTGTAAATTTGCAGACTCCTGTGTCGGAGGTTGGCGGCCTCTTGAGGACTTTGGTCTTTCTTCAGTGGAACCTAAAATTAGATTACAAAGCTGAGCTCTAAGAAAAACTGAAAGGAGGTAGCCCAGTTCTCTGAACCTGTGAAATCCAGGGTGCCCAGCATATGATTTCTATGAAAAATCTGAGATTTCCTAGTCGCCCGGTAGCAAAAGTTAGGCGCCAGGGGCCAGCGGGCTCTGCTAAAGCAGTCTCAACTTCGGAGTAAGGTCTCAGAATCAAACCAGTTTGTGCACAAATTGTACACCCTTACATTTGTGCACAGTGATGTGCAGAAGTTCAATCAATCAATCAGTCAATCTTTTCCTCAGTAAGTAACATTAACTCACAAGTATGCATGTTTACCTATTTTGACATTACTAAAAAGAGCAAGGAGCAAACCCTTTTGGCTTACCAGGAGAGCCCCTCGGTTTGATTCACAAGACAAGAAAAAGAGGGACCAAGGTTAAAAGTTACTCTTACTTACAGATATCTATGAGAAAGGTGTTTTTTCAGTCAGTAAAACAGGCGCTTCAGTAGAAATAATCCGAGTACTTCCAACAGGATTCGAATCTATGGCCTTCTGAGTATTAGTCCAGATACTCTACCGTTGTGTTACAAGAGACTCAAGAGATAAGGCCACTAAACTACATGTAGGTTCATGTGTCATACATCCTGCACACTGCTAAGACTCTCGAATGTCAAAATGTGCTTATGTGCAATGTCAGAAGAGCCTAGTTTAGTCTCTTGTAGCTTAGTGGTAGATCATCTAGACAAGTAACCAGTAGGTCATAGGTTCAACTCTTGTTGAAAATACTTGGATTTTTTCTTCTACGCCGCCTGTGTCACTTACTACACTAGAGTAAGATTTTTTTTTATCTTGCAAGATGCTGAACAGTATATTGGACCATTTCAAATTCACTGTACATTGTAAAATAATGAATGACAAGCAGCACACCTTGACTAGAGATTCCAGAAGAACGAGTGTTCTTTGGAGTTGAGGTCTTCTTAGGCTTTGGCTTTGAAGCAAGATCATCTTCTTCATCAGATAAGAGACCAGCTAAAGGATCATCTTCATCAAACTCTAAAGGAAACATGCCAATATTTAAAAAAAAAGGCAACTTTAGATGATAAATAATCCTCATCAAAGATTGTTTTCCACACCAAATATATACCTCCAAAATCAAACTTTTTTCTTGGTTTCTTTGCTTCCTTTGGCTTGGTGATAGCAGAATCCCGTTTTGTGTCTGTTTTTTCTGAGGATTCAGCGGCTGTTGTAAATAAAAACTACAAATTAGAATTATATGCAAAATCTGGCAGTAAGGATACAAAGAGGTAAACTAAATCCCATTAACCTCTGGTTTCATGGGACCCAGAACAACTAATGTTACCTCTTGGGGGTACTCAACAAAATTTTATACGGGGAGGCTCCACCCCAAGTTCCAAGATTTTTTTTTAATGTTAACAGACTTGGCCATTCTAATTTACAGGAAATTCACAGTTCATCAATCTTACCGTTTGCTGATGAGGAAGGAGTTGGTTGTGTCTTGCTGCTGTTTGTAGACTTTACAGCTGGGTCACCTGAAGTTGGTGGATTTTTATCAGTCTTCCGCTTGTCTTTGGAATCTGGGGCTGCAGCCTTTGAGGGTTTAGAAGATTTGCTTGGTGTTGATTTATTTCCCAGTGATCCTCCAAAGAGGTCAGATTCCATATCATCTAGACCCTGAAGCAAATCAATGAAATAGCAAATTTTTAGTACATTTCAGTATAACAAAATATAAATGAAATAAAAACAAAACTTCATGTTAATGTTGTTTCAAATACTTACTGCAAGGCTGTCTGCCATTTTCTTTGCATCTGCTTCTGAGAATGACTAAACAATCAAATGAAAGTTAGTTACCAGTAGTATAATTTCAAGCAAGCATGAAAATTTTGATATCACAACCTGTTTTTTTTTCCAAAGCTTTCACCTTTCTCCTCCTTTCTAGGAGCATGTTAATGTTGAGCTTCTGAGATGATCAGAAAATCCCATGGTGCAAAACTCCTTGAACATTAATACTCAAGAGGTTTCCTAGGGGTATGGAATACTTTCCAAGTCTGTTTTTTGAAAGTAATTACATCAATTTCATGAAGAAAAATATATTTATAGCCAAATTCGTTGTATTGCACTGCTTGTACCCTAACTTCGAATGGGTTTTTCTGTTCTGTCAATCATTTGAGTGGGGGAGGAGTTAATGCAAATCACAATTCAATGCACTCACCCAGCTTGGCCCGCAAAAACCAAACTTAGAATGACTCAAGACGGCTCTAGAATAGCGAAGGAAATCGCAATGATGAGTAGAATTTTTGTCGAGAGCAGGAGGTAGACATTGTTTTATTCTTACAAGAGACAAGAATAAGAAAGATCAGAAAAATCTTCGAAGAAAACTATTCAATTATTGCCCGAAACAGGGCGATCACAAGCAACAAACCTTGAAACACAGAAACAAACAGAGTGGATTGAAATGCACCAATTACAAGTAAACATGTGTTTCCTTAGAGGTCTGCTAAGATGATTAACGAAACAGAAAAACCCAAAATTCTTTCGAAGTTTGCAAAACGTGCAGCGTGATACAACGAATTTGGCTATAAATTAAAGTACAAAACATTAAAAAATAAAACTATAAAACTATATGTTCATGAGATATGAATAACATAGCCTATTATTCTCTCCATTACAAAGAAAAAAGTGAGCAACCCCTGTCTTAAAAAAATCTAGACTGCTTACTGAGACAATTTTAAATAATGCATAAGTTCCTTAGATTGAATGTCACAATATTTGTTAACTTAACAGTGAGCCTTTCGGGTAAAGAGTTGCACAGTGAAATGGCCCGACAATGAAAGGTCCTTTGGCCGCATTTGTTCTGTACCCTGGAATGTCAATCTTATTCTTGTTTCATGTGTCTCTGGCGTGAATTTCAGACCTCATTTTGAATTTGTTTAGCCAGATAGTCTGGAGCCAATCCCCTTAGGCACTTGAAAGCCGGTATGCCATTCCTGTAGACAAGCATGGACTCGACAGACACCCATTTTAGTTACCTCATCATTATCATCACCATCAAAATCTTCACCAGCCATCTGTGCTAAACTGCTGTAAAAATCTTCATCTGTTGCACTGAAATAAAAAGGTGCATAATCTCTATCTATAACAGCATAAAGGCTGAAGCCACACCAAAAACTATTGAAAAAAAAATTATAATGCAGAAACATATTTATAATAATATTGTAACTTTAAGTGTCAACTTTACAATGTCTTTAGCAAGATGGTGTTCACATTTAATTTAGAGAAAAAACATTGACTATAAGTTTCTATACAAAATTTCTCCATGGAAATATAAGATAACTATCATTATTATTATTATCACTGTTATTATTATTATTATTATGATCATTATAGCCTGTTCCAGGCGTTCAGATAGTGGGGAGCGGTGCGAAGTAAAAAGGAGCGCGAAAAAATAAAAGCGAGGGAGGAGGAGAGGTGAGAGAGGGAACGCCTGTTAGATTTGTTTTAAATAGACTCTTCCGCCCAGTCAGACCGCATCAGCTGTAGGTGGTCTTCACTTGTCAATCAAGACTGGTGTTACAGCCCGATGCATTTATTATTTTTCTTGCGAATAAGTCGAAGTTTGTCAGATCAAAAATTAATATTATGTATACATAATCTTACTAAAAACCCATGGAATGTAAGACTTTCAGACAATAGAAGGCGGGAGAAGTATTCATGTATAATGAATTTATTTACGGCTTTAAAACATGATTTCAGCGTTTACGTGACAAAAAATTATGAATCAAGTGACAAACAAATATCGCTCATTTCGTTAGAAAGCCGTTTCAATACAGGTCGTTAACTCAAGCAATGAAAATGCACAACAGTTGAAGGGAAAATTTACTATTCGGTGATTGAGTCGACCTCGTCAATAGCGATAGTTGCAACTTGCTTTCCAAGCTTTCCTTTTTGAAGTCCTTTTGTCCATTCATTAGACAACCACGATTTGGCACTTCAGTAAACAATTTCACAGCTTCCACTATTAACGGCTTCATTCACATCTTCTCCCATCATTGCCGCCGCTACTCCGATTTTGTTCAAATATTCCACTTGGTCTTCCATGATGGCAATCAACGGAGTTACCACAACAATCGTAAATGGCATTCTCTCCTGCCTTCATTCCAACGCAGGCTTTATTCGAGGAAAAAGCTGGAAAATAAGAATTTTTCCAAAGCCAGTCGGTGAGAAATTGCTAAGACATCTATCCTACCGACGACGTGTTTTAAACAGTTTCTTTGCTCTTCGCTTTTAGCCTCCACGTTTGGAAAGTCACTCAGCGCTGTGTCTGTTGCGAGTTTGAATTCTGCGTGACGGCACGTAGAGTCTGTCATAACGGCCATATCGCATTTCTCGCTGTGATCGAAGACGCTCCACTGTTTACAAAAACTGTCAAAATCAACCAATCAGAGGGTATACCAGGATCTGGTATACCGGAACGCACTTTTGTTAAAAATTCTTACAAGCGTGCCCGCACCTCTCTCCCCAGTCCCCCTCTATTTTTCATCGCTTTCTTTACTCCGCACCGCTCTCCACTATCTGAACGCTTGGAACAGGCTATGATCATTAATACTTCTTCCAGCAGAAGAAGCAATAAATAATGTGAACAGAAACTAACTACCACCACCACCATCCCTGGTTGCCGAAAGCACTTTTGTCCTAACTTATACACTGTATTACAAAAACAATTAGTGACACTTAATATGTATTAATTTAAATATTACATACTTTGAGGTTAAGGACCCTTTTTTGCCTGGAGCCTAGAGGCAAAAAGAAACAAGAAAATACTATGCTTACTAAATTCTATCAGAAATACTGAATGGTACTACAGTATCGCACAACGACAATTCTAAATAAGTAAATATTGTGTACTCTTCTAATCTCAAAGAGAACTTGACACAAACTTACAGATCTTGTAGTGTGACTACCTACGGAACCCTTCCCTTTGGATTCTTGCTGGAAACCTGCATCAAAAATGTCACAAACGACAAAATATACACACAAACATTAGAAACCAGTAAGAAAAGAAAGAAAGAAAGAAAGAAAGAAAGAAAGAAGACTTCTGGAACAAAACAGGAAACGGTTTGATTTTCCATTCTTATATTATCAAAACTATGAGGCAGGGCTGTCAAACAGTTTTTAAGTAGCAGGCTAATAACGAATAGTAGGCAGCTTTGAAACACACACAAAAGGCACAAGTTTCTTAGGGCTGAGGCATCTAGGGACATTTTGAAATTTAGATTCTTGGAAATCACATTTTCAGGGATTTTCAAGAGGTATTTCCCATCGCAGACGCCATATTTTTTCGTCGGAATACACGCAAGACTGGGAGCAATGCGTCAAAATGTCCCAGGTGTTCCTCAGCAAGGCACAGTTCGAACGTTTCACAGATCTAAACCTGTTTAAATATGCGTTCAATGTCATTCAAAACTGGGAAATGGTTACTTGACAATGTTATTCGATGGTGCTTATTTTTTGTTAACAGTTATGGTAGAAGGAGATGAAAGTAGCCGGCTAAGGATGGCTATTTAGCCAGCGGTTTTGGCTGGCTATTGGCCCTTATTGACAGCCCTGTCAATGGCTACTTTAAGAACAAGGTCTGGCTTATATTTGGTACATCTGGGAATGAACTTGGGAGAAAAATTTTGCTAGCTTTATCTACTTGTCACAACATTTTTGGGAAAAAAAAGTGAGCTTGTAGAATTCTAACCTTGGCTCAAATTCTATTTTCCTTTCAAAGCCAGGGAAATAAAATTAACATGTAGTGAATCAACTAAACTGCAGATCTAGACTAAAAACTCTTGACTGACACAAACGGAAAGCTAAAGGAAGGAAGAAGTTTTTTTCAGAGCTGCAAGAAATAGTTCAAATGTAAGAAACAATGCAGTGTTTACCATCATTGCCACCACTCAAAATGGAGTCTAAATCCTGATCCAGAGATGCTCTGTTTGAGGCTGTAATAAATTTTAAATGATAAAGAATATGCCTGTCATTAAACTTATTGACACAAGTGATTCATAATAGAAAATAGTGGGCAAGATGTTCTATAAGATAATAAGACCAAGCTGAAGATGAGGTCTAAAAACATGCGGTTGTTTAGGTGAATTGGTACGCTCGCCCCTTATCAGAGCTAGACAGAGAGAGATGATATGCCTATACATCTATCCGTATTGCCATAATACAAACTATAGCTAGAAGTAGCTCACACAGTCCCAACAGTGGTGAAAGTTCTCTTCACTGATTATCACGCTAAAAATAATTCACAGCTGATGACTGCGTTAAATAGCATGCAGCTGGAAAATTTAATAAATTGCACAGTGGAATTAAACTGGTTAAAGACATTCTTTGACTTCCGTGGTGTACACCTTAACTTCCAGCCATGCTTAGAGCACCTGTTCCTACTTTTAAAATCAACTACGTCTCAAGTAACTATTGATAATTTTACCATTTCGTCCAACGGTTGATCTACGACCAAATCCCGCTCCAGGGAAAGTATCACCACCCTGAGAGAATAAGGAAAAAGCAATAAATAATGTGACAGTCCTTGATTTCAATGTCGTTCGGTTGTATTTAAACCCACTCATTTTGTCATACCTTTCTCATCCCATCAGAATCATGAAATATTTTGAAGTAAAATTGTTATCGGAAGATCCGCCATTTTGAAATCCGTGCGTAAACAAACGCATGCTCTGATCTAGTAATCCGCTTGAAATCGACGTCGCATGTTATCTGCATTTTCCCGCGCATTTTTTGGTTAGTGGATTTCAGCAACTTTTCAGTCATAATTTCGTAGATTTGGAAATATTTTACTGATACTTGCTATAAGACTGATGTAAAACTGTTTATTTCTGTGAAAATCCCAGTCGATCACCGCTGCAGTCATTTGATTGCTGCTTTGGTTGATTCAATATGGCGTCCGGTAACATCAGGGTTTCTCAGTCTTCGATCTCCAATTGCCCAGAGTCGAGCCGAATTCATTTGATGGCTTGCGAGATCGAACATGATGGAGAGGCCCAAGTAGCATCTTACTTTGATACATCTGTGCGAGAGGAAGAGGCGAATTCAGGAGTGCAAAACAGTGTCAAGGGTATGTCACTGTTTATGAAGGCTCTGATTTGTGTTTAGCTGTGTTGGGGAGGAGTGGGTGGGGAGTGGGTGCTGGAACCCTACCATGGATGGTATGGGTTAGAACTCCTTCTATCCTGTGGATAATTTACCATTGATTTTTACAGGAGGCTCCGCCCGAAAGGGGTACGTTTTTCAGGATATGGATATATGAAAGGGTAGGAATTTCAACAGTTGGAAGTATATGAAATGGTAGGGAAATTCTGTCATTTCAGTCTGTAGAGGGGGACATTGGGGGGTACCCAATACCGCAATACTGTAAAAAAAATTGGTAAATACCGAAATACCGTGTCAAAAATCGAGGAAATACTGATACCGCATTTATGATTGGTCACGTTTACTTAGAGCTGTATCCATCTCACGTTTTTGTTTATCTCAAGCATGTATGCACCAGAAATCAACCTCAGACATTGTGAGAAAATGTTAGAGGACCTTGATCAGTACAACAATCGGAAAGCCCGGTCATTGGATGCCCTTCCAATTTTGTCAAAGATTGTATAATCATTTACCATTAAGTCTAAAGTCTAAAAAATGTTAACTTTTATTAACCTGTTTAACTTACTGTGGTTGGTGCTGCAGTTATATTGACCTGTATTAGACAGGAGAGCGCAAATAAATGGTACCGCAATACCGTAAAGGATCTTCTTTTACCGAATACCGTTAACCAAAAGGATGAAAAACCGCATACCGCAGGGCTAGATGATACCGCAATACTGCACATTGAAATCAAAATTACCGAAATACCGCTTGAAAAAAAGCTGAATACCGAATACCGTAAACCCCCATGTCCCCCTCTCGGTAAAAAGGCTAAAAAGGGTTAACAGGTGCATTTTATGGCTGATCATGAGAAAAAGTTGAGAAAACGTTCTGGTTTTGAGATCTATTCATATTTTAAAGACAGTACATTACCACAGCAGTTAAAAGCACTGCAAGGTTCTAAACTTGGTATGTGGGTACAATAATATTTATCAATAGAAGGTATACAAAAGGGATGCCTTTTCAGTCAAAAATGGTATATAGCTGAAAGTGTAGGGGGTCTAGGAAATGAACAGTTATAACAGTTTTTTTGAGACCTTTACTCTTAACTTATCACTTATTTCCCATTCTATACAAATCAATTAAGAATTTATCAAATTTGGTATACAAAAGATGATGAATGTTGAATTTTTTCCTGTTCTATTTAGCCTTGAGCGCATCATTCAGAGGGCGTGGTTTGAGAGGTTGTGTTCTGAATCTACCGGTGGGTTACATGGGGTATGTGATGAAGGAAGAGAAAAGACCTTTCACTGAGGAGGAGGTAAGATAATTTTATGACTAATTACGTGATTCCTATTTGCCAGGGAAGCTTAGTTTGCCAAAAAAAACAGCATTCTTTCAAGCACAGTATTAAAATTATTGTACAAACCAAGGCTACTCTTCACTCGATTGGTATTTTTGCTGAATCAAGCAATATTTTTTACTTCCCAATAAACTGAAAGAAAAAGAGTGAAAGGGTTCAGGGTACAAAGAAAGTCAGTTTTACAGCTTGCCAGGTAGCTAGCATTTACTAGCCCATGAGGCATTTTAACTACTGTAGCCCAAAAAATAATTTTACAAGCAGTGCAGGATTGATTACAATAATTCTTTTGTAATTTGAATTCCCTCAAAAATCTTTATGTGCCTGTCAGGCAAGTTAAGAACAGAATCCACTCACCTCATACCAAAATCCACCAGCCCTGGGCTATCAGACACTACTTTCTTTGCACACTGTGGTTGCCTGGACCTTCCTGAGGTCATGTTCAAGCCAACAGATAAAAAGATCTTTCATTTAGTGGGGATCATGTTTTTGCTCCATTCAACTTGTTCAAGGGAAACTCTTGCATACAAATCTTTTAATATGCAATTAAAATTCTAGCCTCTTTCAAGTTTAAAAGAAGTCAGACTGGCCGAAGGCTTTTTTCTGATGATCATGTTATTCAACTAAGAGAGTCTTTCTGACAACATGGTTTAATAGCGTAGCTCTCTTACATGCGAAGTGCACAACAGAACACCATCAATTTGCCTATCTATGCATCCAAGAAATTATTTTGGTTCTAACAAAATAATTTTTTGTCTGTACATACTTATAGGTACGTATGTCTGCCTCTTCATGTTTAATAGTGGATGTGAAGTGCCTTACTTACTACCTTTTAAGTCCAAGGCATACAAATTGTGTTGAACTTGATATTAGACATCCATGTTATGATATATTGACAGCTGTCAGAATAGGGTACCTACTGACCGGTGTCACATGACTGTATCACTGGCTCAGGTGTACAACCCAATGAGGTGACATGTTTTCTTTAAAGTTCTCTGCTGACCAGTTAAGGTATTCAAGATTGCAGGCTCAGAAAACTTTACTTTAGAGAGTCATTTCTCAAAAGTACCCACGGGAGCTTTGCTTTCAGCCTTGCCACACTCATTTGTCCTGTTTCTAGGATCGGGTGATGAAAGCCACTCACAAGTTTTCACAGTTTACCTACTGGAATCTGGAGACTCCACCTTCAAACAACGATGCAGTTGTAAAAGCCATGCAGTGGATAAACATTGCATCTGCAGTAAGTGTTACAGTTGTTGGGTTATGTACTCAAACTGAGAAAAAAATGTTCTCTGCTTTCTGTCTCAGTTGGGAATCCTCCCTCACACACTCAACCCTCCTGCTGGTTAACAGTCTACTAACAAGAGATTTTCTTTCTATCAACAGCTTCATAGGAGTGATGCAGATAATGAGTATGCCACTCCAGAAAACATACGATGATCCCAGTTTATTACACAGTGTTTTCATTTTTTAATAATGTATTGCATGCTATATTATTTGCTCGAGGACAACATGTATATGGAATCCATGTAAAATAAAATGTTATCTACAGTGTTAAGGTAATTCCCTTGTCTTGCACCGCACATCACCTACTGTGCATAACATTGCAACTTCATAGGTGGCAGCGATTTTCACCGGTCACCTAAAAAGAAGTAATAAAGGCCCTTTTTGAAGTCCAAATGGTTTTTATAGCAATTTTGATAACTCCACCTGGCTGAAAAGGTGTTATTCTTGAAACTCTCCCCAGTCCCCTGGCGCAAAATGACCATTTGAAGCTGAAATCATCCCTGTTGCCTTTTTGCAATTAATCGAGAACGGTAACCCCCCTTTTTTTTGTTTGCACTGAAACATTGGTACCTTAAATATTTTTTCTTCCCTTATTATTTTGTTATAAAACAATGAAATAAGATATGGATACAGTCCACAGGCTAGATAAAAAGAACATGTTAAAAAGAACAGAAAGGAGTCAGTAGATCTAGACAACCATTTTTAACTTGGATGCAATTTTCAGTAAACAGTATTTGTAGTCACTTTGAAATCTCATTCATGTTCCAGAGAAAATTGTTGCTTTTTTAAGTAAAGTATCAAGCATTTTGAGAAAAACAACAACATAAGCTTTATTACCAAATAAAAGTTAACTTACTTTACAATATAATATATTAATACTAAAAAAGGTAACATTTACTCAGAATAACTAAAAAGCTAATCGAGCTGAGTAAAGCTAAATAATGTTCAGGCATAGGAGGTAGGTTGGCACTAAAGCTAGAACAAACAAGGAATTAGTAAATAGATAAAAGGAAAAAAAGGGGGAAAAAAAGAAGAAAAAAGACTCACAAACAGTAAGACTGTAAGATGTTTGACATGACTTTGTTTTTAAAGGATTTAAGGGGGAGGTGTTTAATGCTTTCATCAAGGTTATTCCAAACTTTTACAGCCGCAAAGCGAAAGTTGAATTTACCATAGTTTGTTTTGATAGTATTGAGGTAATAGGTTGATTTAGAAGCAAGCCTAGTATTGTATGAGTGTATGGATGCTACCATTTTAAAGAAATTTTCAAAGGAAGATGGAAGAAGATTATGGTGATAGTTATACATGAGGAGTGCATTATGAAGGGTAACAAGATCAGTTAATTTAAGAATGTTTAATTTCTTAAAAAGAGGCTCAGAGTGATCACCTGGTTCCGAAAAAGTTATAATACGCGTTGCTTTCTTTTGAAGAATTATCAAAGGTCTGAGAGTAGAACTATAAGTGCTGCCCCAAATTGATAAACCGTAGGTGAGGAAGGGGTAAATAAGTGAATAATATAATTGAAGTAATATGTTTCCGTTTACATAATGTCTAATTTTAGATAGTACCCCAATACCTCTTGAATTCTTCTTGCTCAATTCGTGCAAGTACGGTTTCCAGTTCAAATTAGAATCCACTTTTCAGCATAAAACAACCAAGTCTGCCTATTTTTATGTAAAATCAGTGAAAAAGTCAGTAAAAGGCGATTTTTAGGTTTTTTGATTAATCCATTCGCCCCTGAGCCGCCCATAACTGCCCATGCGGATCCGCGTCCTTTCTACTGCTTGTGACATCATCAGTTTTAACCGTCAAGGGCAACTTTGTCCGCTAACTTGTGCAGAGTGAAGAGATTTTTTAAACCATACCCGAATGAGCACAATTCAGTCAAGGACACCGGAGAAAAAGGAAAAAAACTATGTAACATTGACCTGAAAATCTTGTTCCATTGCCCACCTACCTTTCCTTTCACCTAATCCTAAGATCCTAAAAGCTTTCTTAAAAACTCTTCCCACCAAAATGAAGCCCACTAAATGCCCAGCAAGAGAACAAAAAATGAGGCAAGAAAAACGAAAAAAGAGGGGAGGAGAGAAAGTAAAAGTGAAGACTGCTGTGTCACTTTTAAACCCCAAAATTATCTCGAAACTTTGCTTTCTGCGCATGCCCAAACTTCCTAAGCTAACAGTTTGCATCTGGATCAGAAGGCTGTGAAGTGTGCAACCTGTAAAAGGTTTTGTAGTAAGTTTTAGCTCTTTATAGCACGACAGTGACCAGAAAACCACTCAACTAGCTTCAAAACGCGTTTCTCAACAAAATCTCCAGGAGCGAATCTGTTAAGCTTGGAAGTTAAAATTTGAAATTTCTCTGTTTGCAAAGCCTGTATTTAAAAAAAATTCAACGACAGAATATGATTGTTTTATTGCTTTATTTCTTTTAAGAACCCAACTGTTTACATTAATATTTTACTACATGTATAGATTCAAAAGTACTGTTACTTTAGCCAAGAATCTCTTAATGGAAGAGGCTCATTCATGACATATATTACTAATGAAGACTAAACAAGATAAAAAATGATAATTGTCTTGTTCTCATCCACAACAGTCTATATACCAGTCTGAAACTCTGCTAAAATAATATTTCGGTTTTTTTAAACTTAATTTTCTAAAGCTCAGGGTATTGTTTATACTTTTTTTTATAACAGAGCACCCATTCTAATACCAAGTCAGAGTTGATTCAGTTGAGCCACAAGCCAACTTTCCACGTGGCATAATAAAAGCTAAAATATTGGAAACTGTAAATCAATAAAATCAGGGCCCAGTTGTTCGAAGGCCGATTGGCACAAACCCAGGGTTTAATTTTAATCTAGGTCTCTTTTTTGTTTGTTCCAAAGAATTCTGTCAGATAATTTTCTCTATTTTTTTAGCACATCCAATTGTCAAATTGTAGACAAAAAGAATTAAACTGAATTTGCTTTTTTAAGCTTGTATATCTGAAATCAAATTTCCCACTAACCCTGGGTTATCTTAACCTGGCTTTGAACACCTGGCCCTGAAGACTGGCAACACATAATTTCTCTAAAGCAGTAATACCACACTAACAGAAACAAAAATGTTTTTAAAAAATTCTCTACACCTACTTTACCGAGGAAAAGATTTTACCAAGTATACCTGTATTTTTTTGTTTAGCACTGACATAATATTATATTATTCCTTCTCCCTCAACAAGGTGAAAAGATGTGTAATAATACACATAAGAACTGGATGGGCACTAAGATGTTGCAGGGCACTGTCTTTTGAGTGGCTCTTTGTATGGAGTATGGTTTCCTACTGAACATTACTTTGATTCAGTAAAAACTGATTGTGTATGTCTGGGACTCAGATCAGGCACGTCAGTACTTGGTAAGAAGGCAGCCAACAGAAGCTTTTATTATAAACAAAGTAAAGCACAACAGTCAAACAACACCTTGAGCATGACATATGTACTCTTGAAGGTGTGGCTCCCCTGTTTATTTACTGGGTGATTATAATAATTCTTGCTGCCAGTACTACTGTCACTATAGAGGGTGCAACTTGCTAACTTGCCCAAATTTAACAACCATAAAAATTGTTCTTACTTTCTCAATTAACTACCATTGGCATTATTTGAAACATTCAGTGCCATTTAAATACTTCCTTATAATAAATTAAATCCTGGACATACTGACTAACTTTGCCAATGAAACGTTTACTTGATTAAAATAGAGATAACTCTGCACCCATATTAAGAGTACAGTTGTCTTACCATTATTAGGGAGGTCAAGCAACTACAACAATGAAAATGTCAAAAAGCAACGAGCGAAACGTCTTGCATATGCATCATGCCTTTTAGTACATTGCTATGATGTCCACTGCACGATTACAACGTGAAACCTCCCAATGCAACATTTCATGGAGGACATGAATGTGCGATAACAAATTTTTTCCTCCATTCTCTTGTTTTGAACCTGTAATGAGCAGGTCCAGATACATACGACACAAATTCATTTTTTGCCACGTTTTCACTACCGTTGTCATCGTCTTTGCTTAAGCTCCCTACTAACACATCTAATACCAGTTCTTAAATCTGGCTGTTAAACTTTTGTTCTTGATGCCTATTTTACAATATTATATTGTGAATAGAGTATGGTAATATTCATTCTGTGGTTTTTGGTGATTCTTCTGGTGATGATTTTGTTGGAGTCACTGGAAGGGGCTCTAGTTCTTCTTCTTCTTCATCATCCTGGACTTGCATGTGGTATTTGTATATTTTTTCTGTACTGTGTAGATGACCTGAAATTTAATAGTAATAAGCAAGATGAGAACTTTATAGATGTTTGATATCTAGCACATTTTGCAAGTCAGCCTGCTTTCTTGTAGGTCCATTAAATTATTGTAGAGAATGCAAAAGCCCAAAATGAATAATACTAAGGGTATGTTCACGCGGCACCAGACGAATTTTTGACCCATGGAAATTTGGGTGCTGAGGTGTTCATATCTCAAAAAGTGATGCCCCCTTTGCCAGCTTAACAGCTTAACTAATTTCCTAGTCACACCAAGATAAGTTACCATGGCCACAAGGATTTGATCTGAGGGCAGCCCTAAATCTACAAACCCTGGCTAAGTCAGGTCTTTTAGCATGGTACAATGTCAGAGTGTTCTTTCACTGGGGCTAAATTCATGTATCCCAGGTATTTTAGAACACAACGGCCTATAATATAGTTAAAAATGGATAGAGGAGTTCATCATGAACCTGACAGAACATTGGGAAATCCCATCACTGTTTTAGAATAATTTCATCACCTATCAAATCTTTCATACCCAGCTAAAGAATCTGCAGTGAGCCACATCAGTAAAGGAATTCAGGCTACGTCCACAAGGCAATGAACAAATTTTCGCCTGGTTGTGTGTTTAGGTATTCCATTCACACAAACCAACCTTAACCACACCAAAATTTAGACACCTACCTGTTCAAAGTTCCCTGAGAACAGACCAAATTATTGTATGGTCCCATGCAAACAAAGTGTCTGGTCAAATTTTTCACCCACACAAGAATTTCCCCATGCTGAGTGACCATAACCTCAGACTAATCTTAATGATCCAAAAACAGATTTCTGCCAATTTTCTAGCACCTATCAATTTAGTATCCCCAAGCGCAATAAATATTTTATGCAACATGTTTTCTTCTCTAATAAGACAAGGTTGACTCACCTGATGTTAAATTGAATGCCCTTCCAATTGTTTTGGGCTCTTCA